GCCAGGTGGGAAGTCAAGGGGGCCCAGAGCCTCACCCTAAAGATGTAGAGGGCTTTGCAGAGGTGGGCTGCCCTCTAATTGGCAAATGGTGACCTCATCCCCCAAGGGACCTCCCCCTAGGCTGAGGGTGATTCATCTCACTGTGTCTCCGGCCACAGCAGCTTCCTTCCTGGCAAGAAGTGGGGGCAGGGACCTATGAGGCTGAGGCCTGGGCAGCGGAGGGCCACCTCCCTCTTCCCCATACACTACTTGGGGGGTCTCCCAGTGCATGGCCCATGGCTCCAGATAACTGTCCTCACAATGGACCCCAGGCCAGAAGTCCTCTAGAGCAGCCTCACCCAGGAATAAAAATAGCCCTTGAGGCAAGTATGAGTGAGGTGGGGACCACACCTAAGGGGGGCGGGCCCAGGCACGGCTGGGCACAGGAGAGGGAGTGACTTCCCCAGAAGCCCCAAGCATAAAGAAGGGAGAAAGCAGCAGGAACGCACAAAGAAGGACGAACAAAGAGGGGGAAGTGGAGAGAAAGGCGGCAGGATAGTGAAGGGTGGGGAGACTGTGCAAACAGAGAGACACAGACGGAGAGGGAGGTGCAGAGATGAGGTCCAGGATTGGGTAAGAATGCCCTGGAGTGGTGAGGGAGCAGAGTAGAAACAGTGGAGTCTGCTGTCTGAGCTTTCATATTTGAAGGCCAAAGGACCACTGCTCTTCTTCCACACCCACAGAGAGACGAGAGTTGGAGCAACTCTTACTCCTGTTTCTAAAACCCCCAAACCGTAAACGCCCTAACCCAGACCTCCTCCTCCTTCTGATACCTCTCCCCACCTATCCTTGTGGGAGCCCCAGCTAAACTCGCACCTAGCCACCTCCCTTTCTCTGGCTTCTGCAAGTCCCCGGGTCCCTTCCGGGCCCACCCCATCTCCACCCGCTGCTAGAACTCCACTCCCACTCTCTCACCTCCTTCCACTTACCAGTCTTCCATGAATCTCCTCTCAGCCTCCCTTACCACACCCTCTCCCTTGAAACCTGCCTTGCCACACACACACACACACACACACACACACACACACACACACACACACTTCTCCAAGTCTCCCCAAGACATCCCTCACTCTGGTATTCTCATAGGACCACCTGTACGGATGTTTCCCTCTCACCCTCCCAAAACCTGTTGGGTCCCACTGCACCCTTCTCTTCCAGTCTTTCCTATCGGCCCCTCCTCCCAACCTCATCAATATTCTCAACTCCTGGGAACCCTCCTTAGGCTGCTGGAAACTTCGACAAACTTTTCAGGGTTGAGCATAGAATTCTCATTAACAGCCTCCCCCCCCTAGACACGACAATTGTCTGCTCCTTCCGAAGACCCCCCCCAACACCCACACCCACACCCTCACACTAAAGATTGCACGTGGGGTTGCGGTGGGGGTCAAGGAGGGAAGAGATTGAGGAGTTAAGGCTGGAGCACGGTAAAGGTGAGAATTGACTTCCAGGAATAGGGAAGCTGGCTTAGGAGGGAGAAGGTGTTCCTACCTTCACGAACAATTCGACCTGCGGTTGTTCTTCAGCCATAGTTGCGACGGGGACCAGGAAGCGGTCGGCGCTGGGGAACTGGGAGGGGCCCGGGCCAGGGAAGGCGGGTCTCACAGGCAGGGATTCTCTCCCCCAGACCTAGGGCTGTCCCTTCAGCTCAACACTAGCCGGATCAGACCCGCTCACACGAGACGTGGCCTCCCCACCAGCCCCGCGTACCCCGCACCCCGCTCCTCCGGCTCTATCCCCTCCCGGGCTAGATCTGGGAGCCGCTGACTCACGGACCCGCCCCGCCCTGCACCTGGGGAGGGGACTGCAGGGGGCGGGACTCGACGATCTAGGGAGTAGGTCCAGAGGGGAGAGCCTCAGGTCTCTTAGAGGATAAGGGATGGGGGTGTTAAAGAGAGGGAATCCTGGGAACCTCCTTGTTTCTCCGCCAGTCTCTTTGAACACAGAATTTTTTCCTGCCTCAGTTTCCCTGCTGCATTAATCAGAGGACACTCACATTCCTCCCTCACACAAGAAACGACACCAGCAGCTTGGTCTAGGGAGGGAATTTTAGAATGTGAAGGTGGGCGTTTATTCCTTTTTCCATATTCCTTCCAGACTCCAGATGGACAGGGACTTGGAAGTGGACACTGAGATTGGGGAAAGAGAGTGGTGAAAGGTAGGGCAGGGGATGGGAAGGGAGACAACCAGGACTTGTGCTGGGAAAACAGGAAGCTGAGCCAGGGGGGCCTCATCACTGGGGAACGTCTGCTGCTCCTCAGTAGCCTGGTCAGCTTTAATGCTTCCACTTCTGCCCCCATTCTGGGGCCCCTTCCTGTGCCCCTTGCTCTTCTTCCACTGATAGGTTGAAGATGGGAGAAATTGGGAAGGGTAGGGGTTTTATGGCTGCAGAATAGAGCTGCACTGATCCTGGAGGGGATAGTAGCTGGTCCTATTATCGAAGAAAAAAAGCAAAGATCAGACTAAATAATGTAAGTGGGGTCCTTGGGGACACAAGTAGGGAGGCAGAGGAAGAGTATTTTGACTTTGGAGGTTCTGTCAAACTCTTTATGATCTACTTTAAAAAAAAAAAAGGGCTTAACAATACATCCTCCAAATTGAATATATTCCAACCTCTGTATCTTGAATCTCCCTCCTTCCCTACCATACCTTCTTTCTTCCTCACCACTTGCTAACAAGAGACCTACAGTTCCAGAAAAACATGGTGGAGTGCAAGCACATAGGAGCAAAACAGGCCTTGACACTTAAAGATAGGGAGAGACTTGAAGAGAGGACTGGGGCAGAGTGAGAAACATATTGCTGGAAACTAGCAGTTAGTGGTTTCCTCCCTGGCTTCCTCTTCTGTGGGTTTTCTCCTCCCTGGGGGAAGGCCTATCTCTCTCTTTCCCAGAGAGGAGATATAGTCAGTGTTTACTCCCTTGAATTGTAAGATCCTATAAGGTTGTAGAATGATTCCATGAGTTGGGGGGGGGTCTCCTTCATGGGTGATCCTCAAATTCTGCACACAGGACTCCTTCCATCTGAGGAAAGGAGGTCAAAGCAGCCCTATTCCTAGAGTCCTCTTCTGTATCAGCTGGTCAATGTCCATCAGAGAATATGCCCCACAAAGATCTCCCTTCTGGGGGCGCCTGGGTGGCTTAGTCAGTTAAGCGTCCGACTTTCGCTTAGGTCATGATCTCGCAGTTCGTGGGTTCGAGCCCCGCGTCGGGCTCTGTGCTGACTGCCAGCTCAGAGCCTGGAGTCTATTTCAGAGTCTGTGACTCCCTCTCTCTCTGACCCTCCCCTGCTCACGCTGTCTCTCTCTCTCTTCTAGAAATAAATAAAAATATTTAAAAAAAAAATTTTTAAAAAAGATCTCCCTTCTGGGAGACGCCTCAAGCAAATGGGGCCAGCCCTGAGCTGAAACAGGTTTTGGCAGCTTCTTCTCTGCCTCTCTTTTCTCTCCTACAGCTTTATAGCTAGAGCTGGGTTGATTATCAATATTGACTTTGGCTGGCTGGCTTGGCTACCCACAAGGTATTTTGCCTTAATTTCCCAGATGACAGGTAATGCCGCTCTCTCCTGGTACATTTCAGCGAAGCCCCCCTGGATTTAAAACCAGCGGCTGCACCCTTGAATCCTGCATCAGAGAAGTGTCCTTCTGGTCTCATCTCCTTACCTCTGCTTTTCTCCTATCTTAATATCTATCCTTTCCTTCAAAGGGTGGCTTCTTTTTTCACTCCCTCCCTTTCCTTGGCTTGGTAAACCAGTCCCTAATCTCTTTTCACCCCAGATTGGAAGGTGTGTCCCTTTCTGACACGCCTTAGAGTTATGACGGTCTCTTCCAGGTTTCCATAGCTCCATTGCTCAACCGTTTGCTAAGGGTAACCATTAACTGAGCCCTTAACTCACTCCCCCACCTTTGTTGCTAGAGGGGATTCTCCAATCATTGTTTAGCGGAGCCAGGTTACCCCACCATCTTCTCTAACCTGTTGGATGAGATCTCCATATCTCAGGGTACCCAGGACAAAGTTGGGGAGGAAGATGTATTTTAAGCGATCTGTTTTTTAAAGTATTTTGTTTATTTCTGTCCCCCTCACAATCTCCTTGTTTACCCTCCCCTCACACACACTACAAAGTAAGCTTCATGAAGTCCATACTTTATGTTCAGTACTTCAGACCTACCACCTGGCCCAGAATAGGCTCTAAATAGTTGCTGAATGAATAAATGACACCCCTCTGTACTTAGGGATGTGGGTGGGTGTGCATCTGCAGGAGGAGTATAGACATGTCTCAGTAGGAGTGTAGCTGTTCTTATCAGGTCTACTTCTCTCCACCAGAATTTGGTGTAATTCGAATTCTTCCACTTCCTCCTGGGAGACAAAAATTATAAACGAGGCCCAGTAGTTCCCCCTTTGGGGTGGTCATACCCTGTACCGAAGAAATAGGCACAAGAGGACTAAGACAGAAGTCTTGCTTATTTCTGCTTATTTATTTAAAATACGTAGTTTTTACTAGCTTACCAGGCACTATTCTAAGCTGTTCATAAATATTAATTCAGTGGGTACAAATATTAATTTAGAGTTGTTGGTACAGGTTTAATAATGTTGCTTATCTTCACTCTCCAGAAAAAAGAAATGCAATTCGCGTCTCCCCCCTTTAAGCAGCTCCCCCTAACCCGCCTAGACCAGTTAGTGCTGTAGGCACTGACTAAAGCTTCGCTTCCGACTTTCTCACAGGCTCCACCCCGCGTCAATCAAAGCCCAGAAACCGGGAGGGCTTAGGCCCGAGTGCTAAGCAACGGCACTGGCGGCGGGAAGTTTGAACGTTCTGGCACCGCCCCATATGCGAATAGGCCAATCAGCGTCCATCTGTCTCTGCAACTGAAGTCCTCTCCTCCCTCTAGCCCTGTCGGAGCCTCTGACAGGATCCGGATCTCTTCGACCAATAGCGGCTAAGAGGGGTGGGGCGTGTGCGCGCGCACCCCGCCCTCCCTCAGGTGTGCCCCTCCTGCGGGCGCGCGGCTCTTAGTGACGCGGTTTCGCGCACGTAGCTACCCAGGTGACTGAAAACGCGGGAGAGTGCCGCGAGTGTCCGCAACTAGGGTGGGAAGTCAAGAAGTTAGGGCTGCGATCGTGGGGGCGTGGTTGGCAAGGGCGGCGAGAGGAGACGTGCAGACTTGGCCCACAGGGCCCTCCCGCCAAAGCAAGTTCCGCGTGACGGAAATGAGGGTGGAGCAAGTGGAGATTTGCAGTCTGGGCTTTGGTGATATACCTGAGAAGTCGCCCGTGAAAATGTCCGCAGCTGTTAAAAACAAAATGTTACCACAGCTCTCCCCAGTCTTTGCAGCCCCAGCCCCAGCCCTCTCCCAGAAGTTCTGGGTAGATTTGCATATCTGCGCACCCCCTATCCCAGACTCCTGGCGGTGAACCCCCGCTCCTGAACCATTTTCTGCTCCCGCAGAGCGTCCAAGGCCATGTGCTCCATAGAAGCGATCCCGGGCAGGACGCCGCAGGGCCCGGAGCCCGGGGCAGCCTCGGCTAGCTTTCCCAGCCTGTCCCCAGTGCCGGGCCGCGGGGAAGTTGAGGAGGAGGACGACGACGAGCAGGAGCCAGCGGAGGTCTCTGGGGCGGTGATTTCGGTTGATGTCGAGAGCAGGCGCTTGGATCCTGAGAGCAGGGCGTTGGTTGGAACTTCAGGATGTTAGAATCAGTGGGCTTGGAGTAGCTGGCAGGTCACTTGCCTCTGCTCTGTTTCACACTTACTGAATGGGGACGATGATAAAATGATTAAAATTAAGTAGGACATGGCATAACCCTATACTTAACAGCAGTTTCCTTTCCTACCGGGTTCCTTTCTTCTTCCCCACGACAGATCTATCTGTGTGCGCTGTGGACTTCAGGATACTTGGGCATCGCCTACTATGACACTAGTGACTCTACCATCCACTTCATGCCAGATGCCCCAGACCATGAGAATCTCAAGCTTCTCCAGAGAGGTGGGAGCAGAACTGTGGATTCCTCTACTCTGAGACTGCAAGTGTATTTCACTCTTATATCCTTACCTGTCTATTATTGACTTCCAGAAGCTCCCTCTTTTGTTTATAGTAATTCATTTCATTATTCCACATTTATTGTTTATAAAGTATCAGGTGCTAGAGATGTAGTCCTGGGCAAATCAGTCATGTCCTTTCTGTAGGGGTTTGGAATCTAGTGACAATCTCCAGGCCACTCTTCCCTCCTACCATCCTGCCACTCTTACTTCTCATTCCTAAATCTCAAGCCTGACTCCTACCTATGCTCCCAATGTGCAGAGCACTCCTTACTTTTAGAGGGAGGAAATGAGGGTGGGTTGGTTTGTTTTGGGTGGAGTAGAAGAAGATAGCAAGGGGAGGCCTATGGGTACCCTCCTAGAGGATCCTTTTACTCATTTGGTTTCCATTCTCCTTCCAAGTGTTGGATGAAATCAATCCCCGGTCTGTTGTTACAAGTGCCAAACAGGATGAAAATATGACTCAGTTTCTAAGGAAGCTTGGTAAGGACTGGGTAAGGGAAAAGCAAATATGGGGAAGGACTGAACTATGGAATATTCCAGGAGACTAAAGGGAGCAAAAGCCAGGAGGCCAGAATTGGGTGAGAGGGAAGGTGGAACAGAGGCAGAGGACTGAGATGTTCAGACTGATGGCCCTTTCTTTGCTTCCCCCACAGCCTCCCAGGAGCACGGAGAGCCTAAGAGACCTGAAATCATATTTTTGCCAAGTGTGGATTTTGGTACTTCCTTTCCTTTGCCCAATTCCCCAATCCAGCTTCCCTACCCCTTTCTCCTTACTTGAGCCCTAGCAGAAGTCTCCCTTCAGCCTTATCTCATCCTAATCCTTTGTGTTCTTCAAGCCCCATAACCAGTCTCCTCAAGATCTCTCCTGCTCCCTACCTTTAAATAACCTGAAACCTTGTGAAATTTCTACATAGGCATATCTAGGGATGAGGGCCTTCCCTGAGAAGAGGAAGTGGTGACACTTTGTGGATAGTCACAAAGTGACTATCCAAATTTGTTGGAATTTTTACCTTTAAGCCAAAGCCATTTGTCCCTTAAAAGAAAAAAAATAGACACTGCCTCAGTGACTCTGATGATCCACAAGGAACTTCCATAATCTTCCCAGGTTTGCAAAAAGGATAAGGAATGTTCTATCCTACTTAGATGTTAAGACATTAGTGTTACTCAGTCCTCTATTAATATGATGCTTTTGACCCCAAATCCAAAATTCCAAGTAGACATCCTAGGAATAAATATTCCTGAATCAGTTGTCTTTCTCAGGTTGTGCTCTCAGCCAAAGATCTTTATATTCCATGTAAAATAAAGAGATAATTAGACTAAGTCTGAAAATTTGGCTTATTATTATTATTTTCATTATTATCATTTTATTTTGAGAGACAGTGTGAGCAAGGGAGGGGCAGAGAGGGAGAGAGAGAATTCCAAGCAGGCTCCACACTGACAGCACAGATGCAGGGCTCAAATTCGAGCTCATGAACTGTGAAATCATGACCTGAGCTGAAACCAAGAGTGGAAGCTTAACCGACAGCCACCCAGTCACCCCTGAAGATTTGATTCTTGTTTCAGCTTTCCATTAACTGCCTGTAGTAGCTTGGCAAGTCATATTATCTCTCTTGATTCTATTGTCTCATTCTTTTTTTTTTTAATAACTTTTTTTTAGAAATTTTTTAATGTTTTTATTTCTTTTTTTTTTTAAATGGAAACTCAAGGAGACTTTTTTTTTTTCCTAGTTGAGAGAGAGAGAGAGACAGCGTGAGCAGGGGAGGGTCAGAGAGAGAGGGAGACACAGACTCTGAAATAGACTCCAGGCTCTGAGCTGGCAGTCAGCACAGAGCCCGACGCGGGGCTCGAACCCATGAACTGCGAGATCATGACCTAAGTGAAAGTCAGAGGCTTAACCGACTAAGCCACTGAGGCGCCCCTGTTTTATCTATTTCTAAGAGAAAGAGACAGCATGACCAAGGGAGGGTCACAGAGAGAGGGAGATACAGAATCTGAAGCAGGCTCTAGGCTCTGAGCTAGCTGTCAGCAGAGAGCCCGACACGGGGCTTGAACCCACGAGCCATGAGATCGTGACCTGAGCCAAAGTCGGATGCTTAACCAACTGAGCCACCCAGGCGCCCCTCTATTGTCTCATTCTTAAGGTTGGGTGATAATTGGGCTACGAGACCTTTCCCTCCCATGCCTCTCCCCAAATAGGTCTGGAGATAAGCAAACGTCGCCTCCTTGCTGGAAACTACTCCTTCATCCCAGACTCCATGACTACCACTGAGAAAATCCTTTTCCTCTCCTCTATTATTCCCTTTGACTGCGTCCTCACGGTAGGAAGGGTCCTGGGGGAGATGAGGGCTGGGATGTAGCAGACTGGAGAAAGGGACCAACACCCGATCCTTGGGTTGAGTCCTGTGAGGTACTAGTCCAACCCTGGAAAATAATAGTTTTCCATGGTGTTGTCCAGCCTCCAGGACATTGGGATTTACCTCAACTCCATTACTGATCTCCCAGGTTCGAGCACTTGGAGGGCTGCTCAAGTTCCTGGGTCGAAGAAGAATTGGGGTTGAACTGGAAGATTATAATGTCAGCGTCCCCATCCTGGGCTTTAAGAAATTTGTGTTGTAGGTGATTTACCCTAACCTCAAGCAAAGTAAGGTGGGATTGGGAGGCCTGAATAGTAACACAAGGTGGGGGGTGGGGGGAGTGGGCAGTGACCCATCGGGTAAAGTACTCTAGGACACATAGGAGCACCTGCAGGGGATGTGGAGCTCCAAGGAGAAGACAGACAGTATTCTGGGAGGGGGACCTAGTGGGTAGAGCCTAAGAATGAACTCACACCTCTCCTACCCTAGCCACCTTCCCTTCTGCTTGTTTTCTGTCCTCAGGACCCATCTGGTGAGCATAGATCAAGACACTTACAGGTAAGGAGATGGAGGGAGGCTGTCGTCTCTGGGGAGAGAGAAGGACTAAGTTTAATGCTCTAATAATCCCAGCGAGGCTTCAGTTTCTTTAATCCTGGGGTTATTAAGGTCTCTCTCCTTGAAGAAAAGGGAAGAGAGGGTAAGGAGAAGAAAGGGAGAAAAGCACAAGGGTGTCATCCTCCTTTTCTAAAGAGAAAAACTTTAGAAAGTTTTCAGAGAGAAGTGAGGGACAGACCTTACAACAAAACTTGATCTCAGGAGGATGTTCCCAATCTCCCTTCCATCTTCTCAGTTGCTTTTAAAAATCCAAGTTATGTTGGGGTGCCTGGGTGACTGCGTGGGTTAAGTGTCTGACTCTTGGTTTCAGCTGAGGTCATGATCTCACGGTTCATGGGTTCAAGCCTCGCACTGGGCTCTGTGCTGACAGTGCAGAGCCTGCCTAGGATTCTCTCTCTCCTCTCTCTGCCTCTTCCCTGCCTCTCTCTCTTTCAAAAATAAATAAACTTAAAAATAATTTTTAAAAATCCAGGTTACCCCAAACTCCTTCACTTCTCCCTTACAGTGTTCTGCAGATATTTAAGAGTGAGTCTCACCCCTCGGTGTACAAAGTGGCCAGTGGACTGAAAGAGGGGCTCAGCCTCTTTGGTAAGTATGCCCCTTCTCTCATCTCACACTACAAAGGCTACCTTTTTTCAGCTGCCTCCCAACATGTGTCCCAGTCCCTCTTCCCTCCCACTTCACTTCTGTTGCCAGATGTCTCTTCCACTCTAGTCCATCTTTCTTATGCTCCTTGTACCCTCCCTGAGCTTGGGAACCCCCCTTGTCCATAGTTGTCCAGTGTTATTTGCATATCATCTCTTATTTTGCCAATTCCATGTTCCTTCCTTGGGTTTCTATGGATGTTTCTGCTGGCTGTGTACCTGCCTAGGGACTTTGGGAGGCCCTGTGTATAGAGGAGAATTATATAACCACATAACTGTCCATGTTTTATTTGCATTGAGTCTTTGTCAGTTGTCTCTTGCTTTAGTGGGTGTAGTGGGGACATCTACCCAAGTAGCCACATGGATTCACTGTGCATATCTCAGTGGATTATGTCTAATGTTTACATATATGTGTTGGACTCTTTGTGAATCCAACCACAGCTGCCCTGTGTATTTTTCTGGCTGACTGTTCCTGTGAGTGCCTGTCCTTCCCCTAAGCCCATGTAAGGTAATCCTGGCTCAGACTTGTGGCCAGTCGCTGGCTTTAGTTGCCTTTGTGTTCTGAATCTGGGGAACGGCCCCAGGCCAGCCTGTCCAACATCTGAACCTCTGGCCCGATGCCTCGGTTTAGACACATCCACACATTCTTTTTCTGCCCCTGCCTGTAACAAGCTTACTGCCTGCCCCTGCTCCCCACAGGAATCCTCAATAGATGCCACTGTAAGTGGGGAGAGAAGCTGCTCAGGTGAGTCTCACACATCTGCTGCCAGCTAATGCATTCACTCTACAGACTCACACAAACCACCCCACCTCGTAGTTCCAAGAACTGCCCTTTCCCAAATGCTGGCTAAATACATTTAATCCTTACACCAACCCCGTGTGGTAGGTAGTATTATCCTCATTTTATGTTGTCAGCACAGATGCACATATGCAGATTGATGATACAGACTTGCACACATATAAGCAGCAGAAACAATCACAAAACACTAATGCACACATGGTAGTATCTTTTTTTATTGAAGTGTAGCTGATATACAATAAACAATATTTTATTAGTTGCAGGTATACAACATAGTGATTCATTGCTTATATACATTACGAAGTGATCACCACAATAACTCTAGCTACCTCCGTCACCATGCAAAAGTGTCATAGTATTATTAACTATATTCCTTATGCTATACATTGTGTCTTTTTTTAATAATTGGAAGTTTCTACCTCATATGGTTACTATCTGTACTTTTCTTAAAGATTTTAACATTTTATTTTAAGTACAATCAACCCCCCGACGTGGGGCTCAGACTCACGACCCCTGGATCAAGAGTCACATGCTCTACTGACCTAGCCAGCCAGGCCTCACATGGCACTATCTTTAATTATAAAAATGATGGTTCAAATTTGAGCTATTCTCTGATGACTTTCAAAATTGTGTCTCTTTTTCTGAGCTGTATATGTGGAATGCTCATTGCACATTATCACCACTTGCAATTTTCATAGGCAGTTCAAGCTCAGAGGATCGACACTGATGCTCTCTGGACCTGTTCATCTTCCTGCATCCTTTTTTATCTGCATAATGGCATTGCTGGCAGTACTGCTTCTCAGGCGCTGAACCTTGGATTGATGCTTCTCCTTTACGTTTCATATTCATTTATTCACTAAGGCCTATTGATTCTACCCTGAAATGTCTTTCTCAGCCATCTCTCTCCCTTTTTCCACTGCTCTAACTCTGGCTGTGATCATTTCTAACCTGGAGCATTGCATTCACATTTAGATTGGTCTCTCTGCCTCTAATGTCTTCTTTTTCCAATCTGTCTCCCGTTCTAAAATACTTATCATTTCAAAACAGAGATCTGAGCATGTCACTCCACTTTTTTTTAAACCTTAAGTAGAAACAAAATAACATTAACCTCAGGAGACTTCCCCATTCCCTGTGGGATGAAGATTAGCATTTTTAGTAGTCTGATGTTCAGAGCCCCTCCCATTCACCCCAATTTAAACTTCCATGATTTTCCTCCCAAGCCCTTCCTAAATCCATCCTTACTGGATACACCCTACAGTCCAGTCATTTGGGCCACTTTTCTGTCATGGAAATACACCATGCCCATGTTTATGCGCATGGGCATAAGTCTTTCCCTTGTTCTTCCCCTGTCAGAATCTTACATCGTCTTCAAGGTGCAAGCCAACTATCACCTTCTTGGTGAAACTTTCACAGGCACCTGTAAGGAGACTGACACACACCTTCCCATTTGCTTACACAGTGGTTGTTTGTTTTCTAGTTGCACTGTCACATCAGGTGGAAGAGTTAGCAGTCGGTGAACCTGCTTGTTCTCATAGCTATGAACTCTGTACAGTGCTCATTCCTGTCACCTTAGTGCCTAGCACATGGCCTTATATGCAGTAACACCGAGTGAGTGAGCAGGTACACAAATGCAAGCACACTGGTCACATCATCTCTACAAACTCAGGGCTGAGACCTTTACTAGCCTACAGATGCACAATCCTTTCCCCACCTCACCTGCCCTGCACTGTGTGTCTTTTAGAGGTTAATTTAGGATAATCCCTGAGGTCATCTCCAGGTAATTGGGATGACTTCATTACCCACACATTCTACAGGTGCAGATCTCTAATCTCAACCAGGGATGAGAGGGAAGGAATTCTTAGGGGGAGAAGAGAACAGAGTTAAAGGTGGGGAGGAGTGCAGATCCCCCAGGTAGGATCCAGCAGGGCATGAAATCACAACCTGAATTATGAACTAAGGATCCAGTTGGCCTCCAGTTGGGCAGGGCACCAGGAAGGTGACTGAATGTCACAGTATGCTCTAAAGAGCACTATGCTAGCAGTCTGGAGACCTGAGTTTGAGACCCAGCTATAGATTTTGGACAAGCTACTTGTCTAAGGGCTTCATTTCCTCAGCTGTAGTATTAGGAGGTTTAGCTTGACTAAAATTTCTCCTGGCTCTAGCAATACGTGAGTCAGAAAAACCTAAGTATCTTTTTAATGTTTATTTATTTTTGAGAGAGAGCGAGTGAGTGAGCGTGAGCACAAGTGGGGGAGAGGCAGAGAATTCAAAGCGGGTTCGGTGCTGACAGCAGAGAGTCCTTTTGGGACTCAAAGTTGCAAGCTGCAGATCATGACCTAAGCCGAAATCGGATGCCTAACCGACTGAGCCACCCAGGTGCCCTGAAAAACCTAGGTATTTTACAAAAAAGTCTGCTTGTGTTCTCCAAGGTGGAGCCTACACAGCTGCCATTGGAGTTCTCTGTGGCTAAGGCGTAGAGGTGCCTAAAAACCTGGCCTCGAATCCAACTCAGTCCTCCACTTCACTCTAACCTGGGTTGTTCTAACCCAGGTTAACTGGCCATAGACCGTAGTGTGAGATACATATCCTCGGGCCCCAGTGTCTCCACAGTTGGTTCTTATATAAAATAGGATGCCTGGGGTACCTGGGTGGCTCAGCCTGTTGACCATCCGACTTTGGCTCAGGTCGTGATCTCGCAGTTGGGAGGGTTTGAACTCTGCGTCGGGCTTTGCGCTGAGAGCTCAGAGCCTTCTTTGGATCCTCTATCTCCCTTTCTCTCTGCCCCTCCCCACCCTCTCTCAAAAATAAACATTAAAAAAATAAATAAAGTAAAATAACATGCCTAATGGCTTGATCTAATGCAGGAAAGAATTCATGGGCTCACAGGTCCTTGCAGAGTCTCACACTCTTCATAGCCATAGAGAGATAGGGACACCCAGAATTAGACAAACACAGATGAGACATTTATTACTGTATACTAATCTAATTTATTAGGAAATACCCTGGGGACACAAGATGGAAGTAATGATAATGATAATGATAATAATAATAATAATAAAAGCCTCTATGCACCAGCAAATTTAAGAATAAGACAATGTTGTTTTTTTTTTTTTCTTAAGACAGTGTTCTTGAAGAGGCACCTGGCTGGATCAGTTGGTAGAGCATGTGACTCTTAATCTTTGGGTATGAGCTTGAGCCCCACATTGGGTGTAGAGCTTACTTAAAAAAAAAAAAAAAAAGACAATGTTATTTAAACCTCTTCAGTGTTGCTCCCAATCCCATCTCTGCAGAGATGAGCATTATCATGAATTGAGGGCTTATCATTCCACATGGAATGGTTATATACTTTTATGAAACAACAAGAAAAAGATGAATGTCTGTGCAATTACACCCAGAGACACTGTCACAGCTAAATGCAGATAAACTCATGCTGACTCACCCTCTCCTACTCAGCTACAGAGAGAACTAGAGTGTTGGCACACAAATACTTCAATACGCTGCGCTCCCTCTAAATATTGACAAGCTCCATTGCATATCCACATGGAATGGCACATGGTTACATCCATCAAAACCACAATAAACAGAGCTGTATTCACATGCAGAGATTTTTAGTAGATATGTGTAAACATGTCCGCATAGATTGGACACTGTACTTGCCAATGCAGATACAGCTTACCACAATCCCCAGGGACCTCCAAACACATTTTCACAAACTAGGATCAAGACAATAATAAGAACAGATGTAATTTCTGTACCTCCCGCCTCCTATTTCATGCCTTACTTCCAGGCTGTGGTTCACACGTCCGACTCAGGACCTGGGAGAGCTGAATTCCCGGTTGGATGTCATTCAGTTTTTCTTACTACCCCAGAATCTGGACATGGCTCAAATGCTGCATCGGTTGCTGGGTCATATCAAGAATGTGCCTGTGAGCTAGGGGTGGGGGCTGGGAGGTAGGGAAGGAGTATGAGGGTCAGTATTGGACATGGGGCTTCTTGAGGGGCATTAGAGTGGAAGAGGGAAAACAGTGGCTGTCCCCTTGTCTGACTGTAGCTGATTCTGAAACGCATGAAGCTGTCCCACACCAAGGTCAGCGACTGGCAGGTTCTGTACAAGGTAAGATCTTCCTTCTTAAATCCCAGAAGTCCAAGTTAAGCCCCTCAGCATGTGATCCAGACCCTCTGTACTCTGGTCATCCTCTCCAACTTTATCCTAACACTTTAAAAAAATTTTTTTTAATGTTTACTGATTTTTGAGAGAGAGAAACAGAGCACCAGCAGGGGAGGGGCAGAGAGGAGACACAGACTCTGAAGCAGGTGCCAGGCTCTGAGCTGTCAGCATAGTGTCCCACGTGGGGCTCAAACTCACAAACTGTGAGATCGTGACCTGAGCCAAAGTCAGAAGTTTAACCAACTGAGCCACCCAGGTGCCTCCCTGACACTTTTTTTTTTTTAAGTCTATTTATTGGGGCGCCTGGGTGGCTTAGTCGGTTAAGCGTCCGACTTTCGCTTAGGTCATGATCTCGCGGTTTGTGGGTTCAAGCCCTGCGTCGGGCTCTGTGCTGACTGCCAGCTCGGAGCCTGGAGCCTATTTCGGAGTCTGTATCTCCCTCTCTCTCTGACCCTCCCCTGCTCACGCTGTCTCTCTCTCTCTCTCCTAGAAAAAAAAAAAAAAAAGTCTTTATTTTGAGAGAGAGAGAGCGTGCACACACAAATGCATACACATGAGTGGGGGAGGGGCAGAGGGATAGATGGGGAGAGAGACAGAGAGAAGCTTAAACAGGCTCCATCCTCAGTTTCAGAGCCTGATTGGAGGCTCAATCCCTCAGACCCTGGGATCATGACCTGAGCCAAAATCAAGAGTTGGACACTCAACTGACTGAGCCACCCAGGCACCCTATCCCAACACTTCAAAACAAAACAAAACAAAAAACAACTTTGTATTGTGGAAATTTTCAAAAAAAATTAGAATAATATAATGAACCTCCATGTACCCACCATACAGCTTTAATACTTGGACTCATGCCAACCTTGTTTCATGTATATCTTCTCCTTGCTTTCCCCTTCTTGGATTATTTTGAAGCAAATCCCAGCCATGATGTAATTTCACCCGTAGATATGTTAATATGATTTCTAAAAGAAAATTTCTTTTTTAAAAATGCTTGTTTATTTTTGAAAGAGAAAGAGAGTGTGTGAGCATGAGAGGGTCAGGGAGAGAGGGAGACAGGATCTGAAGTGGGCTCTGCACTGACAGTAGCTAGCCCAATGCAGGGCTTGTTTGAACTCATGAACCATGAGATCATGACCTGAGCTGAAGTCGGATGTTCAACTGACTGAGTTACCCAGGTGCCCTAAAAATTACTTTTAAAAAGGAATGATGGGGGTGCTTGGGTGGCTCAGTCAGTTAAACATTGGACTCATGGTTTCTGCTCAAGTCATGATCTCACCATTCGTGGGATTGAGCCACACTTTGGAGCCTGCTTGAGATTCTCTCTCTCCCTTTCTCTCTGTCCCTCTCCCCCGACTTATGTGCTTTCTCTCTCACATAATAAATATAAATAAAAACTTAAAAACATAAAAAGGAATAACAATACCATTATCTTACTAAATCAGCATAATTCTTGAATATCATAAATTATCTGATGTTCACATTTCTTTTTATTTTATTTTTTATTTTTTTTAATGTTTTATTTATTTCTGAGAAAGAGAGAGACAGCGTGAGCAGGGGAGGGTCAGAGAGAGGGAGACACAGAATTGGAAACAGGCTCCAGGCTCTGAGCTGGCTGTCAGCACAGAGCCAATGAGGGGCTCGAACCCACGAACCGTGAGATCATGACGTGAGCTTAACTGACTGAGCCACCCAGGCACCCCCATTTCTATTCTTTTTAAAAGCAGGTTTAAGGGGCGCCTGGGTGGCTTAGTCGGTTAAGCGTCCGACTTTCGCTTAGGCCATGATCTCGCGGTTCGTGGGTTCGAGCCCCGCGTCGGGCTCTGTGCTGACTGCCAGCTCAGAGCCTGGAGCCTGTTTCAGTCTGTGACTCCCCCTCTCTCTGACCCTCCCCTGCTCATGCTGTCTCTCTCTCTCTCCTAGAAATAAATAAAAACACTTAAAAAAAAAATTAAAAAAAAAAATAAGTAAAAAAAAAATAAAAGCAGGTTTAAATTTTTTAAAAAAATATTTTACTTTTGAGAGAGAGACAGAGCACGTGCATGTGCACATGCACGCAAGCAAATGGGGGAGGGGCAGAAAGAGGGAGACAGAATCCAAAGCAGGCTCCAGGCTGTCAGCACAGAACCTGACACGGGGCTCCAACTTACAAACTGTGAGATCATGACCTAAGCCAAAGTTGGAAGCTTAACCAACTGAGCTACCCAAGTGCCCCACATATTTTTTTTAATGTTTGTTTATTTATTTTGAGAGAGAAAGAAAGAATCCTAAGCAGACTCCATGCTGTCAGTGCTGAGCCCCACTTGGGCTTGAACTCAAAAACCGTGGGATCATGACTTGAGCCAAAATCAAAAGTCAGACAAGGGCGGCTGGGTGGCTTAAGTTGGTAAACGTCCAACTTCGGCTCAGGTCATGATCTTGTGGTTTGTGAGTTTGAAGCCTACAACAGGCTCTGTGCTAATAGCTCAGAGCCTGGAGCCTGCTTCTGATTCTGTGTCTCCCTTTTTCTCTGCCCCTTCCCCACTCATGCTCTGTCTCTATCGCAAAAAAAAAGTAGCATGCCCTACCAACTTGAGCCATGCAGGCACCCCTGATGTTCACATTTCTAATCCTGTCTTAAATGTCATGATTTTTAAAACATTACATTTTGTGTAATCAGGATGCAAATATGTTCAACATATGGTAATGATTTGATGTCTCTTGAAGTCTGCTTTTTCGGTTTCTTTTGCTTTTCACAGTTCTCCCTCCACCTCTATCTCAATCTTTATCTCTCTTTTTCCTCTTGCAAGTTATTTGTTGAAGAAGTTAGATCATTTGTCTGATAGAGATTTCCTTAGCCTGGAATTTGCTGAATGTAATCAGTAGGTGTTTTTGACATGTTTTACTCTCTTCTAGAATTTCTATAAGTGAATATTTAAACCTAGAAGATTGATCAAATCCAAGTTTGATTTTCATCAATACTGTTTTAAAAGCAGAGGAATATAATGTCTGATATGGCTGTCTCTCCTTTTGTGATGTTAGCAGGTTTTGATGTTTGATACCTAAGTCCATTAGTTCCTTAGGGATCACAGATTGTTATTCTGTCATCCTTTCTTCATTTATTAGCCAGAACAATTCTGTAAAGAGAAACCTTCTCATGTGCTTTTTGGTTTCCCAGTGATACACTTCATATCATAGAAATTGCTTGATTTCTCTCCTCCTGCTTTTATTTATCAGCTATCAGCATACATGAAATTGGCTCCCTAACATCTTCCAAGGTAGCCAGTGTGTTTTTTGTTGTTGTGTATCATCATGAACTCAGATTTACACATGTGTTTCAGTCCTCTGCAATTTTGATCTTTCTACAGGGTCAGATTATTCCATCTTTGGCCCATGGGAGCCTCTTCATGCTCGCTTCTGAGTCCTTTAAATATGACACCAGTGGGCTTTCCCACTTGGCAACTTCCCTCCTGCTCTCTGATTTAACAGGATGTACCAGATGTATCATTCACATTTCCTGGTTTTTATTTTATTTTTATTTTTATTTTATGCCATCTCTACACCCAACGTGGGGTGTGAACTCCTGACTCCAAGAGGGGCACCTGGGTGGCTCAGTCGATTGAGGTCTGACTTTAGCTCAGGTCATGATCTCACAGTTCGTGGGTTCAAGTCCCGCGTTGGGCTCTGTGCTGACAGAGCCTGCTTCTGACTCTGTGTGTCCCTATCTCTCTGCCCATCCCCCACTCCTGATCTGTCTCTCTGTTTCTCAAAAATAAATAAATGTTAAAAAAAACACTTTGAGGGGCGCCTGGGTGGCTTAGTCGGTTAAGCGTCCGACTTTCGCTTAGGTCATGATCTCGCGGATCGTGGGTTCGAGCCCCGCATCGGGCTCTGTGCTGACAGCCAGCTCAGAGCCTGGAGCCTGTTTCAGAGTCTGTGTCTCCATCTCTCTCTGACCCTCCCCTGTTCACGCTGTGTATCTCTCTCTCTCCTAGAAATAAATAAAAATTAAAAAAAAAAAAAAACAAAAAAAAAACACTTTGAACTCCTGACCCCAAAATCAAGAGTCATATGCTCTTCTGACTGAGTCAGCCAGATGCCCCTACATCTCCTGGTTCTCACCCAGAACAAGACATTTGTCCAAGGAGCCCTTTGTTCCTTTTTGTGAAAAATTGTATCACAGTCTGAATGCTAGAGACACACAGCATGTTTTGCTTATTGCTTTTAAGGGTTTTTGTGGACATATCTAAGAACTTTTAGAAAGTAAAATACATGCATGATAATTTTGTACTGATAACCACCAATATCCTTACCTTGTATATTCCTTTACTTATCTTCTTCAGTATATCTTCCTCCATACTGGAATTCTGGTTCTCAATAATACTAGCAATGAGTAGATTAGAATATCACTCATTTGGGGTGCCTGGGTGGCTTAGTCGCTTAAGCATCCGACTTTCGCTTAGGTCATGATCTTGCGGTTCGTGGGTTTAAGCCCCCCGTTGGGTTCTGTGCTGACAGCCAGCTCAGAGCCTGGAGCCTGTTTCGGATTCTGTATCTCCCTCTTTCTCTGACCCTCTGCTGCTCACACAATCTGTCTCTCTCAGAAATAAATAAAACATTAAAAGAAATTTAAAAAGAAAAGAAAAGAATTTAAGACTTTTTGGGAGGAGGAGGGAAGTTCTTTTTGTCCCTACTAAGGATATACAATCAAATTACTGTGTTTTAGTCAATTAGGATAGTCCCTCTCTATGTAGTTACATTACTATCTGGATATACATTTATGTTCATTTGTTTCATTCTATTTTTTATTTTTAAGAATTGGTTTTTAGAATTTCATTTATTTTTATAATATGTAAAATATTTATGTAGTTCCAAAGTGTAAGGTATAGTCAACTAATCCTAGTTTCTTTTTCCCCCCTCCACTTATAGATAACATTTTCTTTTTAAAAATTTTAAGATTTGTCCTTCTGTTGTTTTGTTTTAAATTTTTTTTTTTTTTTTAATAATTAAGATGTAAAGCAAAGTGGCAAAAATTGTACAGGTTGTTCTCACATACCTTTCACCCAGTTTCCCTTAATGTTAATATCATACCAAAAAAATGTTAACATAACCATAGTATAATTATCTCAAAACTATTTTATTTTGAGTTATAATCCAGTGCTGTCTTTTTATTTTGCTCAAGTTTTCTAGTTTAGTTTCTTGAGAGTTCTTTTCAGATTGACTTTTAATATGTTCATTTATTTTTTTAACCATTTTTAAAAGTGTATTTTTTGGGGTGCCTGGGTGACTCAGTCAGTTAACCATCTGACTTTGGCCCAGGTCATGATCTCATGGTTTGTGGGTTCGAGACTCCCATCAGGCTCTGCTGACAGCTCAGAGCCTGGAGCCTGCTTCAGATTCTGTGTCTCCCTCTCTCTTTGCCCCTCCCCTGCTCATCCTCTGTTCTCTCTGTCTTTCAAAAAATGAATAAACAGTAAAAAAAAGGAATGCTTAAAAAAATAAAAGTGTTATATGGAAACCAACTTGACAATAAACTATTTGTAAAAAAAATTTTTTTTAAGTGTATTTTTATTTGAGAGAGAGAGAGAGAGAGAGAACAAGCAGGGGAGGGATAGGCTCGTCACTCACTGCCAGCACAGATCCTGATGTGAGGCTTGAACTTACAAACATGAGATCATAAACTGAGCTGAAGTCAAGAGTCTGACACTTAACTGACTGAGCCACCCAGGTGCCCCCCCTTTTTTTTAAACATGAAAGAGTAAAGATCACAGCTTCTCCAAGTTAATGGTTTTTTTAATAGTCTATTTACTTTTGAGACAGAGAGAGACAGAGCACAAGTGGGGAGGGACAGAGAGAGAGGGAGACACAGAATCTGAAACAGGCTCCAGGCTCTGAGCTGCCAGCACAGAACCCAATGCGGGGCTCCAACCCACTAACCGCGAGATCATGACCTGAGTCGAAGTCAGACACTCAACCAATTGAGCCACCCCCAGGTGCCTTTTTAAAATGTTTTAAAATAATTTTTAAAGTGGATTTTTAATATGCCCATTTAGCTTTTAGACTGGCTTTTCAGATTCAGGTAGGCTTTTTTTAAATTTTATTTTTAATTTTTACATTTATTTATTTATTTATTTTTGAGAGACAGAGAGAGACAGAACGTGAGTGGGGGAGGGGCAGAGAGAGGAGAAGACACAGAATCCCAAGCAGGCTCCAGGCTCTGAGCAAGCATTCAGCACCGAGCCTGATGTGGGGCTCGAACCCACAAACTTTGAGATCATGACCTGAGCCAAAGTTGGACACCCAACCAACTGAGCCACCCATGTGCTCAGGTAGGCTTTTGATATGCCCCTCTGACATGGCTCCCAGTCCATTTTTGAGCACTTCCTAACTTTTTACCACTACAGGATGCTCCAGAGTCATCTTATATTTTCTTTGCCTAAGTCCTGGAAGCAACCATTTCTCCAAGGAATCAACCATTTCTCCAACCATTCTCCAAAGTTCTTTGTCCATATCTAGTGGACAGATCTTGGTTTCTAATACTATTCTGAATATATATTCTGAGAATAGTATTAGAAACCAAGATCTGTGCACTAGATATGGTTATTGCTAATGGGGTGTCTGTTACTTTTCTCCACAGACAGAGCTAAAGAAACAAATGTAGTATGCTAACCCATACATATACATCTATATTCCTGACTCGATCTATCTATATATTAAAGAACCTATAAGTTCATACTCATAGCTCTGATTCCAAGTCAATACCAGAGTTCAATCTAGACTTCCTCCTTTCCTCATTTGTAATTTCCTTCTCTCCCAGTGAGAAACCTGCTTCTTATTATCTTCAGCAGGTTTCTTTTAACATGAACAGATATGTGGAGCTATTTGTATATTCCATTCCCACTACTGAACATTCATCCACTGCTTCAGCCAGGCCAGGCTATGCATTCAGGCGCTCTGCCTAGCAGACCCACTGTTTTCTGCTCAACATAGTGTGGTGGTTAAAAGCCAGATACTTGGGTTCAAATCCCAGCTCTTTTATTTACTCTCTGCAAGATCTTGAGCAAATTATGTTATTCCTTTGTGCTTCCAGTTGCTCCACTGTAAATGGAGATAATTCCTATCTCCTAAGATTATTTTTTGATCAGTGAATGAAAGTAACATGTGAAGAGTTTGCCTGTCATTCAGTAAGTGGTAGCTCTTATTCCTACCTCTATTCATTTACTCATGCTCTTGCTCTCAACCAGAATACTCGCCTTCCTTTTGAATAGGCTTACTCACAACCAAGCTCATTTCCTTTTCTCTGTAAAGATATCCCCAGTGATGTTAGCCCATATTAGTCATAGTCTCTGAACCTACTTAGTAATTTTAATCAGTTCCATAACTTGGTCAGTTTTGTGGGTAGTCATTACTTTTGCAGCTTGCTTGTTTGTTTTCATCATGACTAAATTATACACCCTTTGATTTATTTACTTCATATATCTTCTACCACCAAGTAAGGCTTATTAGATGTCCTGTCCTGTGGATTTGGTCTGTCCACTCAGTCTAACCTTGGCAGCCACCTCAGGACACTGAGCTTCACCCTGGGGAATTAACTGTCAATGACTCTCACCCTTTCTCTCTTCCTGCTCTCTTTTTCCAGTGCTGTCTTTCTCCTTCTGCTCATTTACTGCTCTGCCTTTCATATCCCTACTTCTCTCTTTTCTTCCTCAGTATAAAATCCTTTACTCTTAGGGGCACCTCAGTGGCTCAATCGGTTGATCATTCAACTTTGGCTTAGATCACTATCTTGCTGTTTTTGGGTTCGAGGCCTGTGTTAGGCTTTGCGCTCACAGCTCAGAGCCTTCTTTGAATTCTCTGTCTTCCTGTCTCTCTCTCTCTCTCTCAAAAATACACAATAAAAATATAAATAACTTAAAAATCCTTTCCTTATTGAAGCACCTACCACTTTATTTTAATTAATTTATTTATTTTTAAAGTTTTAATGTTTATTTATTTTTGAGAGAGAGCAAGAGTGAGCATGAGTGAAGGGGCAGAGAGAGAGGGAGACACAGAATCTGAAGCAAGCTCCAGGCTCTGAGCTGTCAGCACAGAGCCTGATGAGGGGCTTGAACCAACGAACCATAAGATCATACATGACCTGAGCCAAAGTAAGCTGCTTAACTGACTGAGCCACCCAGGCGCCCCAATGTTTATTTTTGAGAGAGAAAGGGACAGCGTGTTAGCTGGGGAGTGTCAGAGAAGGAGACACAGAATCTGAAGCAGGCTCCAGGCTCTGAGCTGCCAGAACAGAGCCAGATGCAGGGCTTGAATTCATTAACTGTGAGATCATGACCTGAACTGAAATCGGACGCCCAACTAACTAAGCCACCCCGGTGCCCCTATTTATTTATTTTTTAAGTTTATTTATTAGTCTCAAGAGAGAAAGAGAGTATGAGCAGGGGAGGGGCAGAGAGAGGGAGAGAGGAGAATCCCGAGGAGGCTCCGCCCTGTCACTGCAGAGCCCGAGAGGGCTTGAACCCAAGAACTGTGAGATCATGACCTGAGTCAAAACCAAGAGTAGGACGCTTAACCAACTGAGCCACCCAGGTGCCCCTATTTTTAAATCTTCTGGGTATATTTCTATCTTCTTCTCTAGACCAAAAGCCCATCTGGGACAGGGCCCATTTTAGTTCTTTGTAGTTTCACTATTTAGTGTAGTGCCTGACACAGAATTTTACAGATGCCATTTTCTCACTTACTGTTTCTTTTTTGCCTTTGAGATTTTCTGTCTTTTTTATTGTGTTTCCCCCTGCTGCTCTCTGTTCTTCTCAGTCCATCCCTGTCCCTTCACCTCAGCCCATTCTGTCCATTTCTGTTACAGACTGTGTATAGTGCCTTGGGCCTGAGGGATGCCTGCCGCTCCCTGCCCCAGTCCATCCAGCTCTTTCAGGACATTGCCCAAGAGTTCTCTGATGACCTGCACCATATTGCCAGCCTCATTGGGAAAGTGGTGAGTGGAAGGACCTAGGGAAGAGAAGTGGGATTGGATGACAGAGAAGGACTGTACTCTGGGGAATGTGGTGTGGAAGACGGGAGACATCAAGGTCAGTTGGATGACCAAAGAATGAGATGGTGAGAGGAAGTGTCAGAATGTCAGAGACTGCTTGGAAGGATACGGTTAAAGCAGGAACTTCAGGGAGAATTGGGGCCCAAGCAGAGGTGAGAAACAGGATTGGGAGATAGTTCTGAGTGATGAGCAAATGGACTTTTTATTTCCTCAGGTGGATTTTGAGGGCAGTCTTGCTGAAAATCGCTTCACAGTCCTCCCCAACATAGATCCCGAAATTGATGAGAGTGAGTGTTGGGTGTGTAGTGGGGCTGGTGAGCCTAAAACACGAGCCTGCCCAGTGATGGGGTACCATCATCAGTAGGTGGCCACTACAACTGGGGATAACCATAGCAAACAGGGCAAGAATCTTACTTTCGATACCCACATGTCTTCCACTCTCCTAGAAAAACGAAGGCTGATGGGACTTCCCAGTTTCCTCACTGAGGTTGCCCGAAAGGAGCTAGAGAATCTGGACTCCCGTATTCCTTCATGCAGTGTCATCTACATCCCTCTGGTGAGGGCAGGAGGATGGGTGTAGCCTCCAGGGGTCTTTTATTGGAGATATTAGGCTTATGAAGGACACACTGCTGGATGAGAAAACCCCTGGGGAGGTGTGAAGAATATGAACACTTAGTGTGTGGCTTTAGTCCCCTGAGGGAAGCACTGGAGAACACTGGGATCTTTGGCATCCTCTGGGGAGATAAGGTGCCCAGTACTTTATTCCCTGTTTTAACTCCTCTTTACTCTCCCCAGATTGGTTTCCTTCTTTGTATTCCCCGCCTGCCTTTCATGGTAGAGGCCAGTGACTTTGAGATTGAAGGACTGGACTTCATGGTAAGATCCTTGACCTCTGTAGGGAAGTGATAAGGAAAATGATTCAGCAGCTGAGGGAGGGCCTTACCCCATCAGCACTGCCCAATATGGGATGTCTCTTCTATAGTTTTACTTTGATCTTTACCAGCTCTGAGATAAAAGAGAAAGAAGTCAGGTGGGAAAGAGATAAAAGACCTGTACCCTGAAAACTATAAAACCTAGATGAAAGAAATTGAAGATGACACAAAGAAATGGAAAGACATTCCATGCTCTGGAATTTGAAGAACAAATATTGTTAAAATGTTGATACTACCCAAAGCAGTTTACAGATTTAATGCAATCCATATCAAAATACTAACAGCATTTTTCACAGAACTAAAACAAACAATCCTAAAATTTGTATGGAACATAAAAGACCCTGAATAGCCAAAGCAATCTTGAAAAAGAAAAAACTGGAGATATCACAATTCCAGACTTCTAGTTTTATTACAAAACTGTAGTAATCAAAACACCATAGTACTAGCACAAAAATACACACATAGATCAACAGGACAGAATAGAAAGCCCAGAATATGCAATAGGGAGAGGCACCTGGGTGGCTCAGTCAGTTGAGCATCTGACTCTTGCTCTCAGCTCAGGTCTTGATCTCAAGATTGTGAATCAAGCCCTGTATTGGGCTCCATGCCAGGCATGAAGCCTACTTAATAAGCTCAAAATGCATTAAGGACCTAAATGTGAGACATGAAACCATAAAAATCCTAGAAGAGAGCACAGGCAGTAATTTATCTGACCTTGGTTGTCGCAATCAAGACAAAGATGTTGCAACATCTTTCTAGATACCTCTCCTGAGGCAAGGGAAACAAAAGTGAAAATAAACTATTGGGGCTACATTAAAATAAGAAGCTTCTGCACCGCAAAGGAAACAACCAACAAAACTCAAAGACAACTGTGGAATGGGAAACGATATTTGCAAGTGACATATATGATAAAGTGTTAGTATCTAAAATATATAAAGAACTTATAGGGGCACTTGGCATGCACTTCATTTCAGGGTTGTGAGTTTGAGCTCTATTGAGTGTAGAGATTACTTAAATAAGTAAAACTTAAAAAAAAAAAAGAACTTACAGAACTCAATAACAAAGAAAAAACAATTCAATTAAAAAAATGAAGACATGAACAGACATTTCTCCAAACAAGACATCCAGATGGCCAACAGACACATAAAAAGATGCTGAACATCACTCACTGTCAGGGAAATACAAATCAAAACCACAATGAGATACACACCTGTCAGAATGGCTAAAATCAAGAAATCAAAAACTCAGGAAACAACAAATGTTGGCAAGTATGTAGAAAAAAAGGAACTCTTATGCACTGTTGGTGGGGATGCAAACTGGTACAAGCACTGTGGAAAACAGTATTGAAGTTTCAAAGAAAATTAAAAATAGAACTACCCTATGGATCCAGAAATCACACTACTGAGTATTTACCCAAAGAATACAAAAACACTAATTCAAAGGGATGCATGCATCCCTATGTTTATAGCAACATTATTTACAATAGGCAAACTATGGAAGCAGCCCAAGTGTCCACTGATAGATGAATGAATAAAGAATATATGGTACACACAATGGAATATTACTCAGCCATAAAGAAGAATGAAGTCCTACCACTTCCAATGGCATGGAGGGATCTACAGAGGACAATGCTAAGTGAAATAAGTCAGAGAAAGATAAATTCAATATGATTTCACTCACATGTGGAATTTAAGAAACAAAACAAATGAACAAAGAAAAAAAGAGAAAAAAACCCAAAACAGACCCCTAACTATAGAGAACAAACTGATGGTTGCCAGAGGGCAGGTGGGTGGGGGGATGGGTGAAACAGGTGAAGGGGATTAAGAGTACACTTATCTTGGGGCGCCTGGGTGTCCCAGTTGGTTAAGTGTCCAACTTCAGCTCAGGTCATGATCTCGCAGTTCATGAGTTCGAGCCCCACTTCGGGCTCTGTGATGACAGCTCAGAGCCTGGAGCCTGCTTCAGTCAGAGTCTCTGTCTCCTCTCTGCCCCTCCCCTTCTCACTCTGTGTGTGTCTCTCTCTCTCAAAAATTAAAAAAATTTTTTTAAAAAGTACATTTATCTTGATGAGTACTGACTAATACACATGAAAGTGTTGAATCACTATGTGTACATCTGAAACTAATATAAGCTGTATGTTAACTACACTGGAATTTAAAAAAAAGAATCAGAAATTATCAGGGGGAGGCATAACTAACCTAGTGTTTAAGAATGCATATTTGGGTGATAAACTTATAAAGAAAATAAAGAATAGGGGCGCCTGGGTGGCTTAGTCGGTTAAGCGTCTGACTTTCACTTGGGTCATGATCTCGCAGTTCGTGGGTTCGAGCCCCGCGTCGGGCTCTGTGCTGACTGCCAGCTCAGAGCCTGGAGCCTGTTTCAGTCTGTGACTCCCTCTCTCTCTGACCCTCCCCTGCTCATGCTGTCTCTCTCTCTCTCTCTCTCTCTCTTCTCCTAGAAATAAATTAAAAAAAAAAACACATTAAAATTAAAAAAAAAAAAAGAAAATAAAGAATAGATTCCCAGAAAGGTCAGAACAGAGGTTACTTTTGAGGAGCTGGAGACAGTTGTCATAGGATGGCTCTCTGGGGTAGCAGGCAAAATTTTAGTTTTTAACCCAATTTGTAACCTACGTGGTTAGTCACAAGGGTATTTACATCGTAATAATTCCTTAAACTATACATTTGTTTTATACAGTTTTCCTTTTTAAATTTTTTTTCAATGTTTATTATTATTATCATTATTATTTTTGAGAGAGAGAGAGACAGAGTGCAGCTGGGGGAGGGGTAGAGAGAGGGAGACACAGAATCCAAAGTGGGCTCCATAGAGCCCAAACAGGGGCTCAGACTCACTGTGAGACCACAACCTGAGTGGAAGTCGGATGCTTAACCAATTGAGTCACCCAGGTGGTCCTGTTTTATGCAGTTTTCTATTTTATTCTTTTCTTTTTAATTAAAAACTTTTTTTAATGTTTATTTTTGAGAGAGAGAGAGAAAGCGCAAGGGGAGGAGGGTCAAGAGAAGGGAGACACAGAATCCAAAGTAGGCTCCAGGCTCTGAGCTGTCAGCACAGAGCTCCATGCAGGGTTCAAACTCATGAACCACGAGATCACGACCTGAGCAGAAGTCAGATGCTTAACTGACTGAGGCATCCAGGTGCCCCTGTTCTATTTTAAAATTTAAAAATTTTTAAAAGAAAAAAAAGTTGGAGTGGGGCTGGAGGTGGTGTTAGAGAAGATGGGGATCAAGAATGCAAAGCCCTCAGCTTTGAACCCTTGCACCCAGTTTCTGTCAGAGGAGAAGCTGCACTATCGTAGTGCTCGAACCAAGGAGCTGGACGCATTGCTGGGGGACCTGCACTGTGACATCCGGGGTGAGGAGAAGTAAAAGGCTGGAGGGGAGCGGGCAGCTTGGAGGACGTTCTAACTGGCTCCTTTCTTCCTGCTCTCTCACTCTGATTGCACATTTTTCTCTCAATGTCAGGGTGTCTCAGACTCTGTCGGCAAGCCTATTTCCAGGTCTCTCTGCTGGCTTCTTTGTCTCTTTTTCACTTTCCCCTGGAGCTGATGCCCAACCCTCTCCCTCCCCTACCCCTAGACCAGGAGACTCTGTTGATGTACCAGCTGCAGTGTCAGGTGCTGGCGCGGGCAGCCGTCTTGACCCGTGTGTTGGACCTTGCCTCCCGCCTGGATGTCCTGCTGGCTCTTGCCAGTGCTGCCCGGGACTATGGCTACTCAAGGCCCCGTTATTCCCCCCAACTTCTTGGGGTCCGAATCCAGAACGGCAGGTGAGAATAGAAGGGGCTGAAGGCGTAGACACAAGGGTCCCAAAGGCCCCATCTGTGGTGCCTTCATTTATCCGGATTCACAGGCCATGTGTGAGGCAACTCTTTACCCACTGCAGACATCCTCTGATGGAACTCTGTGCTCGAACCTTCGTGCCCAACTCTGCAGAATGTGGCGGGGACAAAGGGAGGATCAAAGTCATCACTGGACCCAACTCCTCAGGGAAGAGCATATACCTCAAACAGGTGAGGAGAGGGGAGCGTAGGTGACTCAGTCAGTTCAGCACCCCACTTCAGCTCATGTCCTGATCTGGCAGTTCATGAGTTCAAGCTCTACATCAGTCTTGCTGCTGTCAGCACAGAGCCTGCTTCAGATCCTCTGTACCCTTCTCTCTGCCCCTCCCCAACTTGTGCCCTTCCCCATATAAATACAACATTAAAAAAACAAATAGGTGAGGAGAATCCCTGCACACCGGGCCTCTGGCATCTTCTTCATTGTATCATCTTTCAACTGCCTGCACACATGGGTCCCTTACAGGTCTTCCCCTTTGTTCTGACCCAATCTGTCATGAAAAGGCTGAAGCGCACATTCCCTGCTCCTCTATCACGTGTTCTCACTCTCTACTTGAGGGAGAGCCATGCTCTAACATATCTTTCTGTGCTCTGAAATCCTCTCCCCCATTTCTGAATAGGTCCACGCCATTCCCAGGTATGCCTCTGCCCACTCCCCCTTCCTCTTTCCTGATTCTAGAGAAAGGTGAAAGGGGTCTACTCTCACATTAAACTATGTCCATCCCTCTTTGATCTATAATTCACCCCTCAGTCTTGCCTCACCTTTACCCCAGCCCATACCATCAGGCCCCAGGCCGTCTCCTCCATTTCTAGGTAGGCTTGATCACATTCATGGCCCTGGTGGGCAGCTTTGTGCCAGCAGAGGAAGCCGAAATTGGGACAGTCGATGCCATCTTCACCCGAATTCATAGCTGTGAATCCATCTCCTTGGGCCTCTCTACCTTCATGATCGACCTTAACCAGGTCAAAGGGAGCAAAGAGGGGTGGGACTATGGGAGGGTATTAGTAAGGAAGGAACTCTATCCTTGAAAAATAATCAAGGGCACCTGGTGGCTTAGTTGGTAGAGTGTCTGACTCTTGATTTCAGCTCAGGTCATGATCCCAGGGTTGTGGGATGGAGCCCCATGTTGGGCTTCATGCTGAACATGGAGCTTGCTTAATATTCTCTCTCTCCCTCCCTCTGCCCCTCACCCCCGCTCATGCTCTCTCTCTGAATGAAAAAAAAACAAATTCTAAAAAGAAAAATGATCAGAACAATAAAAACTTTCCCTCTGCTGCATGCCTTCTGTATTAGGAGCAGGAATCACCAAGTTCAGAGATTAGAGAATCAATACCATGAACCTTTACTGAACCTTTGATTTGCATGAGGCACTGTTGGCAATGAAAGGATGAATGAAATGTGTGTCTTACCACTGAAGAACTTGCAGTCCAGGAGGGTGGGCACATATATAAGCAGCTTTATTCACAAGCAGACTGTGATCAGTGCATTACAGGCCTTGAATGCCACTGAAACTCTCCCTTGTCCACCTGGTGCCCAGCAGGTGGCGAAAGCAGTGAACAATGCCACCAAGCAGTCTTTGGTCCTCGTGGATGAATTTGGAAAGGGAACCAACACGGTGAGGAGACAGAAGGAAGAGAAACTGAGGAGGGGAAGCTGGGGGAGGACAGAGGAGCATGAGGGTGACGCTGTGCCTCGGGAAAGGAACAGGGGTGCATGGGGCAGAAAAGAAACAGAAAAGTACAAGATGGGGAAGATGAGGGCAGGTGGAGAGGTCCACACTGCAGGGGGGTGGGGGCACCTCTGGTTCAGCACCCTTACCACTGCTCTCTGCGCAGGTGGACGGGCTTGCGCTTCTAGCTGCTGTGCTACGACACTGGCTGGCACTTGGACCCATGTGCCCTCACATCTTTGTGGCCACCAACTTTCTGAGCCTTGTTCAGCTACAGCTGCTGCCACAGGGGCCCCTTGTACAGTATTTGGTAAGGAAGCTGATCTGGCCCTCTGGGGATCCTTAGGGTGAGCATTTACCAGAACTGAGGACAGGCTCTTCAACTACAGTAGGGGCTCCCTGAGCACAGCAACCACATCCCTTCCCATTTCTTAATCCCCGGTTTCAGGGCAGGAAGCAGAGCGATTGATGACACATTGTCCCCCTTTATCTCTTTTAAGACCATGGAGACCTGTGAGGATGGGGACGACCTAGTCTTCTTCTATCAGGTTTGTGAAGGTATTGCCAATGCCAGCCATGCCTCCTACACAGCTGCCCAGGCTGGGCTTCCCGATAATCTCATTGCTCGTGGCAAGGAGGTGAGTGAGAGACAAACGTCAATACCTCCATCAGGGCTCTCTTCCATTGGCCTGGGTTTCTGGGTACATGGGATTTCTGACCTTTATTTCCGGTCTCTTACCCAACTCCCCTCCTCCATTCCCACCCCAACCCTCCCCTCCTTATTCCTAGGTCTCAGACTTGATCCGCAGTGGGAAACCCATCAAGCCTGTCAAGGAGTTGCTAAAGGAGAAGCAAATGGAAAAGTGAGTGTGTAGCCTAGTGTCCTGGCTCTCTCTAGCATGTCTGCAGCTCTTCTCCCCTTTTCAGGGACTCAGGCTCTTTGCCCTTCAAAGACCCATGATTTATTCTGAAATCCCTAAATTTTCCTAGGTTCCCTGTGCCACAGCCTCTCTCCTCTGCCTGGGCACTCAGTCATCTATTTTCCCATAAATCCCGTTGTTCTGTCTCCCATCAGTTGCCAGACGTTGGTAGATAAATTTCTGAAACTGGATTTGGAAGATCCCAACTTGGACCTGGACATTTTCATGAGTCAGGAAGTTCTGCCTGCTGCCACTGGCATCCTTTGAGAGTCCTTCCTTGGCTTTCCTCCACTTCCCAAGACCCCAGCGAGCTGCCTTGCCCTGTTTCCTGGTCTCCCTCAGACCCAGAGTTCTCAATTTTCCTGGAAATTCTGTTTCATGTTAGGAATAAAGTTTATTTCAGAGCAAGTTATTGTTTCTTTAGAGCAGCCATCACAAAACAATAGGAAAGACATGAAGTACCAATCAGAAGTCCACAGAGGGGGCCTGCCTTGGCTCGTTAAAAACGCAGTAACACTGGGGCATCTGGCTGGCTCAGTCAGAGAAGCATGTGCCTCTTAATCTCGGGGTCGTGGTTTGGAGCCCTATGTTGGGTGTAGAGATTACTTTAAAAAATAAGCTTAAAACAACAACAACACAGTGACTCTGCTATAGGGGAACCCTTGGGTTCCACCCAGGGGACTTCATGAGAACCAGCTCTTTCAACAGACCCTACAAAAGCACATGAGAAGGAAGACGGAGAAGCCCAACAGAGACGGTCTTTTCCCCTTAAGTAGGAACACTCCGACCTCAGATAGACACAGCAGGAAGGGCTCTGAAAGGCTGAAAAGGAGGGACTGGCACCAGGCAGGGGGGAAGGGGAGGGACCCACCCTGAGCACGAGTGGGCGTGGCTCCACCCTTCCCACCTCGGAGCCATGGGGAGCCAGGGGCCCCATGGGCTGTCCCTGGTACAGGCCCCCTATACAGTTCTGCTGCTGCCACTGGAGACAAGCCGCCAAGATCCAGGGGCCCGGAGCTTCTTCCTCTGGGTGAGTATTAGTCCAGCAAGAGGTCCCAGGGAACTGACTTCCTGGATCTGCCCCTACATTTTCATTCCATTTTGAGGACCCTTATGTCTTTTCCCCTGCCTCCCCTTGCCCTCCAGCTCAGTGGTCAGTCTGGGCTCACACTCAGTGACCAGACAGTGAATCCAACCAAGGGTTGAGAGAAAGGGCTGTGGCTCAGAGCCCTGCTGTGGAGAAAGTCGGCCTCTGCTTCTGGCCCTTCCAGCTGCAGAGGATGCAGGCTCTGGAGAGGGAGCAAGACGCCCTGTGGCAGGGGCTGGAGCTGCTGGAGCACGGCCAGGCCTGGTTTGAGGGCCGTCTGAGGGAGGCACAGCAACAACAGCTGCATCTGGGGGCTCTTGGTGAGGTACGGGGCTTCTGTGTGGTGCGGAGCGGGAGGAGCTCTGGGGGTCTGGGGACATGTGGACACAGCCTGACACCACCCTGGAAAGGCAAGAGTTAATGGGGGCAGGGATCCTGAATTGTAATGGCTGGATGCCACCATGTGCTGGTTGGTGTTCATTGTTGGGATTAGAGGAGGCTGGTTTGCATTCCATTCAGAGGGACCTGATTTGGATCACTCCATTGAGATGGAGGAGTGGCCTGGATTATTCCAATGGGTTAGGAATGAACAGGGAGGATCCATAACGAACAGGGAAAGGGGTACTATGCCATCTGAGGGGGATGGAGGAACTGGACTGTTAAAGAGATGGGAGTGGAGAGTATTAGATTTTTCCACCTGCCTTGGGGGGTACTGCGATGAGGGGATCCAGATGGAGAAGAGATATGGCCTGTGGTGACAGAAGAGCAGGAGATGGACCTCAGGGTTTCACTATGTTGTCAGCCTCCAACTCCTCCTTTAGAATTTTCTAACAGATTTACCCTCAGAGCCTGGTGGCCCCCAGTTAGCCCAGATTCAAAATATGAACACCTGTTTGCAGAATCTGATTCAGGAGAAGGTGAGTTTATTGTTTTTAGTTTATACTCTTGGGAAGTGGGGGTAGACAGGGGACTTGGGGTCAGCACTGGTTTAACAGAAAAAAGCAAATCCCACCCTCTCCTCCCTCCCAGTTCTCCCCACATCCCTTGAATCAGGCTAGTTCCTGTGCCACCCAGGACTGGAAGGGAAGGCCGAGGAAGCAGACCCTGTGGCAGCAGCAGGTAACTGTAGGAAGTGGGGGGAGGGCGGAAGCTCAGGCCCTCGGGGGAGGGAGGAGGGGGATGCCCACCCCGGTTCTCTCCTCTTCTCCAGCTGTCAAGGCAGCAGAAAGGAGGCATTCAGACAAAAGGGAAGACCGCTCAGCTGGGATGCCCCAGTATGCGGAGGGGCCCAACCCGTGTGTGAAGCCTCCTCTCAGTTTCCTCAGTTGGTGACAGGGAGGCTGAGTCAGAACCCCCAGTCTCCTTATTTTGCCTCTTGACTTAATAGATAAATGGCTCCAGGTGGTGGGCCAACTGAAGTCCAAACATCTTGGTGTAAAGTTTCTTCTCCACAACTGAAAACTTCATTTCATCTGCTTGGTGTCTTACGCCCTCACCCTTGAGTGATCTGCATAAATGACCTTTCTTTGAAATCCCTTTCTAGAGAAGACATGTTTAATGAAACTGTCCTTCAACTTTAAATACAAAAATAAAATAGGAGTTTCTTCAGAATTTCAAATAAGAACAATTCTATAAATTAACCTCCGCTCCCAACCTTAGTCTCCTCCCCATATACCTTTCCTTCTACCGGAGTTTAGGAAAGCATGTATAAATAGTGGAATAAAGAGATTTTGTTACAGAGAAATAGGAGCCAATTTTCTCCAAAAAGGAATATTTGCTTTGGTTCCCAGCAGGGTTGGGGTAAGTGCATTGTGGGAAAGTCCATTGCCCTCTGTCCCAATCTCACAAAGAAAGAGAGGGACAGGTGTCTGAGAAGGAAAGCTCCATCCCAGCTGGGAGAGGTGGGATCCCAAGGCCCAGTTGCCTGCTCAGCAGTGGGGCAAGACTGAAAATAGCGCGGGAGATACATCCCTCTAGGGGTTCTGGTGTCAGCAGGAGGCCAGGCCTAGCAGGAGCAGCACCCCTACAACTGTGCCCCACCGGGGGTTGCCCACCAGCCCTCCCCCAGCCCTTCCCCGAGTCACCAAAGTGGAGGCAGGGCTAGTAGAGGCGAGGATAGGGCCAGATGAGTGGGCAGGGGCAGCCAGCGGGTCCTGGGGAGAAGAGGGAGAGACGGTCAGGGCGTCTGCACCCAAATTAAGCCTGCACTGTCCTCCCCCTACACTGTTACCCTGCAGTGAAAAGTGAGGTGCCTCACCTGCGGGGTGGGGGCCAGCACCAGGAGCTGGAGGAAAGCATGGGTTGGGGGCACTGGGCTGGCTTCACGATCTGTCGCAGTCACTGTCACCGTCACCACGGAGTCTGGGGCAGCTGAGTCTGGGACCTCCAACCACAGAAGCCCCCAGGCAGACTCATTTGGTTCCAGGCGAACCCTGTCGAGTGGATAGTCGCCGGGCTGAAGGCCCAGGCTCTGAACAGTTGAAAGCCCAGGGTCCGCACCCCAAGCTGGACGGGAGGGGAGGGGAGAATCCAAGGGCCAAGTGGAAGAGCCAGCTGTGGGCGGCGGTTAAAATACCAGCGCCCACCCCAGTGGAACCTAAAGGTGGGCCAGAACTGAACAGGGGGGCTTCAGGGGCTATACTTGGAGAGGTTGGAGGTGAGAACGAAGCTGGGCTTGACAGATGTTCTAAGCTCAAGATCCTGAGGGCCCGAGAAGCTGGCGATGCGGAGGCTGAGCGGGACCTTGCTGCCCGGTGCCAGGAAACTCGGGGGACCGCTGAGCTATGGAGGAGGGCGGGTCAGGCGAGGAGGAGCCGCTGCAGCTCTCTCCAGCCCTACCTGCACCTCCCTCTTGTGTCTCACCTCCAGAAGGATGGGGACCACGGTGCAGGGCTGGAGGGCAGCACGGTGCAGGCCCTGCCCCTCTCTGTCCTGGCCAATCAACTCCAGAGAGAAAGGTCCCACGGTGGACAGAAGCGTGGGCGGTAGCGAGGCGGCAAGGAAGCCTCGCTCCGGCGGTCCCGTGGGCTGCAAAGGCACCCGGCCCAGCTCTGCACCTTCCGGGACCCCCCGTAGGACAACGTGGGAGAAGTGCAGCAGAGGATCTCCAGGGTTGCCTCTGGAGCCCAGCCCTGTCACCTCTACCAGCAGCTGGGTCTGGAGGCCTGGGACAGGGGAGAGGCGGGGAGAACAATGGTCCGCTTGAGGTTCAGAGACACGGAGAAAAGAATGATCAGCTTTTGGAATAGGGGTTACCTCTGGGGGTATGAATGGAGAAAAGGGGTTACCTCTGAGGGCTATTGTTGGGCAGGGTCAGGAAAGATTCTGGGATTTTGAAAATGTTCTAAATCTTGAATGGAGTGGTGGTTACATGAGTGCATTATATGAAATACATCCAGCTATATACTTAAGTTTAGTGCACTTCATTATGTGTAAGTTATAACTCAATTAAAAATATATATATAGGGGGGCGCCTGGGTGGCTTAGTCGGTTAAGCTTCCGACTTTCGCTTTGGTCATGATCTCGCGGTTCGTGTGTTCGAGCCCCGCGTCGGGCTCTGTGCTGACTGCCAGCTCGGAGCCTGGAGCCTATTTCAGAGTCTGTGTCTCCCTCTCTCTCTGACCCTCCCCTGCTCATGCTGTCTCTCTCTCTCCTAGAAATAAATAAAAAACATTTAAAAAAAAAAATAAATAAAAAAATAAAAGGGAGCAACCACTACTAAAAAAAAAAAAAAATATATATATATATATATAGGGGCACCTGGGTGGCTCAGTCGGTTGGGCTTCTGACTTCGGCTCAGGTCATGATCTCGTGGTTCGTGGGTTCAAGCCCCGCGTCCTCTGTGCTGACAGCTAGCTCAGAGCCTGGAGCCTGTTTCGGATTCTCTCTCTCTCTCTCTCTCTCTCTCTCTGACCCTCCCCTGCTCATGCTCGCTCGCTCTCTCTCTCAGAAATAAATAAAACATTTTAAAAATTTAAAAAATATATATATATAATTTATGGGTGCGTGGGGGGGGGAGTGGACATACCTGCAACTGGCTGAGTCAGGGGGTAGAGGCCAGGGTGGGGGCCATCCTCCACGGGGATCCCAAAGTAGAAGAGGAAGTCCAGGGATGTCTGGGCTGAGGAGGGCCAAGGCAATCAGAAACCTTCCTGAGTTGAATGTGACTTATACTGCTCTCTGAGCTCTTCAGCATTCCCGTCCCTTCCCTTCCCAGGAATATCTCCCTCCTTACCTTGCACTCTCACCCGGGGTGTGCCCTCGGCTGTGACCAGGATCTCCCAGGTCCCTGTCTGTAGAGGGTCATTCATGGTAACTAACCAGAACTGCCCAAAGCGGCGAGTGTGACCTAGAGGTCCTTCACCTTCCTCCTGGCCCTGGGAGACCCCTGGTGGCAGGGGGGGGAGCAAGAGATTGGCACGTGAGATGGCTCCTGTCCCTTAGGACGTCACCCTTCATTCTCTATTCTTCCCTCTGCCTTGAGACACACACGTGGAAGTACCTTCAGGGTTCCTGATCCAGAAGCTGCTGACCTCCCCATGGATCCGGACTATGACCCTCTGGAGCAGCGTATCCACCCTGAACACAAGTGGCCTCCCAGATACCACAACAGGAGGTTCCAGGGGAAGGGTAACCTAGAGGGATGGGCAGAGCCAAAAAATAGGGGAGAAGATGAGGCATTGAATGAAGTGGGAACAAAGACAGGAAAAAGGTGGAGGCAGAAAGAAACTACATCACACACGGAGAAGGGTTACCAGTGAAAGAGGGGCACAGGACCAGGGATGAAGTTATGGTCAACGACAGAGTGGAGGCAAGGGATTAAGGGTGAGGTGATTGCTTCTTGTCCCTTAAAAGATGGCAGGACTTCCTGTGGTGGCCCTGAGGACAGACTACTGGAGGCCAAGACTGGGGGGCGGGGAGGTACTAACAGGGAAGGAGCAATGTGGAAGTTGGGTAGCCATGGATCTCAGAAAGAGAAACTTCCTTTCCCAACCTTCTGACTGCAGTGGCAACACAGCAGTGTTAAACTGTTAACCTATGAGAAAAAGCAACGCTGTGTCACCCATATCCTCTGTTCTGAGCCAAAAGCATTAGTCCCTCTGGCCCTCATACTTACTCACCAGGTCAGCCATGCTGTCCCCAACAATGGCTGCCACATCCTGGATATGCTGGTCTTTGGTGAAGATTACCTCTCCTCCTGAGGCCAAGGCCACCGCTTCATAGGGCTCAAAACGCATAGGGGACAAGACCTCACGCCGAGCTCGGCCCTGAACCCTCTACGGGTCCTCAGTCACTAGGAATGTTACCTGTGCCCAGAAAAGAGGCCAGTACTGAGTACTCCAAGTGCCGTCTACCATTGTAAATGAGGATGTCCTGTGCTCAAGTGTTCTGCGGAGCTGATGATGAGCAGTAAGGTCCCGGTCTACCCTCTGATTGCTCCTGTAGGGTCTCCCAATGACACAACCCCCAGGCCTTCAGTTAGTAGTTGCCACTCCCTTGTAACTGTCTCCTTATGTCATCCACAGTGGATTGCTGGCAACTAGATCTCTAGTTCTTCAAATGGTTTATTGGAGACCAGTTCAAATATGCATTCAGCATCATATAAGGGATCAGGAAATGTTATACATTGTCTGCTTCTCCCACCCCATGCCAAGGCTGGTTCAATCACCACAGTGTGGTGTGATCCTTGTTATGAGATTCTCGTCACAGGGTTTCCTGCATCTCTGGGTGGCTAACATCGGATGTCCCGTCAGCTGTGCTCACTCTGCAGCGCCGCTCCTGAGTCAGGGACTCCACCCGGTTGGTGAGAAAGGCATCCTTGGGGGAGGCATCAGTGAAGACAAAGATGTCTGAGAGTGGAGGTGTGTGCAGCAGAGCCAGCTAGCAGAGAGGAAGAGCACTCGTCTTAAAAATGGCAGCAGCAGGGGAATGGGTGGAGGAAGGGAGGGCAGAATAGAAGGAAATATGGCCCTGGAACCCTGGAGTGAAGCTAATGGAACTAGGCTCTGAAGGTGGGGTGGAGGGTGGAGGTCCCAGGAAGGCTCTAGTTCCCCTTGGTGGTGGGAACTGGAAAGGAAGGGAAAAGAAGGGAAGGGGGAGGGGGAGGGCAGACCTCCAGGGCTGACAGGCACATCTCAGGCTCATCTCCACCCCCCAAGGCATGGATCTCATTGAGTTGTTGCCAGAAGCTGTCAGGATCACTGGTTGTAAAGACAGGGCCAAACCCTGGGGAGGAAGAAAGGAGGTTGAGATGAGTTAGGAGAGGAAGAGGGCTCCCCTCGTCCCTACCTGGGGCCACCTCCCACCCCCCAGTCAAGAGGCCCACTGTGCTCCTGGAATGTACAAATATTGAAATAGCAATATTCCCTGATATTTATATAAGCAGGGCAGGGTAAGGGCTAGTTACTTTTGGGGGGAAAATAGACCTCATTTCCTTAACAAAATGGCAGCATTTCCTGTGGTCCTGAGAGGGCCTTTATTGGATATGTATGTAAGTATAAAAACCACCTGGGGCCTCAGGTTCCTCACCAGAAAAACCAGAGAAATAATGGTACCTACCTCAGAGTGTCATTAGGAGGACTAAATGAGTTGGTTTTGTAAATCTTAATAGCGCTTTGACACATAATAAATACCAAACTTGAAGCTTCATCAAGTATGTGATAAACCCCTGTTAAATTCCAGCTACTATGAAATTTATGCAGGTAAATCAGACTCAACTCCTGCCTTTAGGGAATTCTCAGTCCTGTAGCTATTTTATTTGATGGTCATTTCAACCATCAATAGAAGATAGGCAGGATAAGACAAGTACTAACTCATTTTATGGATGATGAAATTGAGGCAAAAAAAAGGCTAAATGATCAGCTTAAGAATGCACAGTGACAGGTCAACCCAGGTCAGATGGTTTACTAATTCAGCGTGGGAAGAAATACAATATAACTAGCTGTTTCAGAGGCTTCACAGAGGCCTGGACCCATCCTTATCCCAACCTCTGTCTATAGGAAATGGAGAGAATTGAAAATGACTGATTAGAGTAGAAGCCTAAGAAAGCAGAGGCCCCTGCCTAAGCACAGATCATGGTTAACCTCATATGAAGAGTGCTGCCATTTTGGAAACAGCAGAAGTGGCCAATTGTTTCCTGTATGTACAGAGGTACCAGTAAAGACTCAACCATAGGAAGTGTCACCATTTTGTTAAGTGAAGCCGTGAGGCTCACTCCCCCACCAGTGGCATTTACGCCTTGCCCTGACATTCCTTTCTTCCACTATCCTCACCAGACCACAGTTACCTGGATCATGGAAAGGTACCAGGATGTAGTGGGAAGGCTCCATGGGGCTGCCCCGTCGCTGTTCCACAATGTGGCGAGCCTGGATTTTGGCAGCATTGATCTCCTCACCCATACTGCCCGTGGTGTCCAGGACAAAGCTCAGGCTGGAGGCTGGGCTGATGTCCAGCAGCCTGCGGAGCAGGCCAGGGATACGGTGGGGAGTCTGCACATTTGTCTCCAGCCCCTGTTTACTCAGCTCCCCCAGGAGCACATGCCCATTAAGGGGCACATCTCCCAGAGGCCACTCACCTGGAGAAACCCTTGTCTCCCAGCCGGTTTCGCAGGAGACTGAAGGCCTGGATGGAGGCCAGAAGGGCCAGTTTTGCTGCCTGGAGGTGCAGCATGTGGTGGGGAGAGAAGCCTGGGGAGGTGCTATCCTTGTTGATGCCTCCCCGTGGTGGCTGGGAGCTGCTCTGGTCAAAACGGCCCCCATGGCTACACTTCCCTGGTTTGGGGAAAGAGATCTGGAGGGTGGAGGTAAAAAACCCACTGCCTCCTAAGAAAATGAGGCCCAGTTTTGACCTGGCCTGACCTCTCACTCTTCAGCAAAGGATCAGCAAGAAAGATAACATTTTGTGGAGGGCAAATCTGGAGAAAATCTAGAGGGGTTAGTCATCACAGTACATGGTGGATCCCCAAATCCTTCCAGTCCATCCCCAAAAGCTACCCTTGGGTAATGGAGAAGTCTTACCAGCTAAGTAAGATGCTATTCCCCCACCCAACAATCATGGCCACCTCAGTGGGCCTCCATCCATCTACCCCCTCCCCAACATTCCCTCTTTCTTCCAGAAGTGATGCCATAGGAAATGGGACAAGGGCCTATAGTTCTGAGATCCCTAGGGAGAGGGTCAGGGGAAAGGAAGTGACTTTCTCCCCTTACTTCTGCCTGGTACCTGGAGGTTTGGAGGGATGAGTTCCAAAGTAGCCAGAGGTGAGGAGTGTAAAGCCCAGCAAATTCCCGGGGCAGCTCAATTCCCCACAATCAGAGCAGGTAGGATCACCCACTGGGGAGAGAGGACAAGGGTCTAGAGGCCAAGATCCTGCCACCACTGACGTTTATCCCCATCCTTCCAAACTTTGGCTTTTCTCTGAGCGGACAAAAGCTCAAATATACCCTTCTAGGCTTTCTGAACAAAAACCTAGATCACCTAGTGATGAGACTGAATATTTGAGACCAGGGCTGTGCTAGGAAACCTAGAAGCGTGAGCTGTGGATGGGAATGAACTTGTAATGGACAGGAGGCAGCATCATAGCTCGGGTGGAAGGATGAGGGCACTGTGAGGGAGAGCCCTATGTGCTCCATCCCACGTTGGGGAAGGAAGCCACATGAAAGAGAACTCAGCTGAGGTCCACAGACCTTGGTCCTGGGTCTGTCCTCCCCTGTGTGACCTTGGGGAAGCTCTCTAACTGACCTAGCCTTTGGCTGGACTGGGGGACCTCACAGGTCGTTCCAGAGAAGAATCCATGTCACATCCTATGTGACCTGAGGATGTGATGCAGTGCCTGGGCAGGCTGAGAGGACATGGCTTTGATGGGTTTCCCCCATCCCCCTGGGGTCATGGCCGTACCTTGTGCCAGGCTCCGGAGCTCCTGCCTAGGCCAGAGGAGGTGAGGGTGTGGCTGCTGCTGTCCCAGTTCCACCCAGTTGCTGTGACTGTAGAAATCCTAGGGGGAGGGGGCGAAGGGGAATGAGGCACTGTCTGACCTTCTCACAATCTCCAGTGCTTATTCCCCCTCCTGGAAAGCCTCCTCCTACCCCCGCCACTGCCGTCAGATACCCCAAGTGCCCTCCACACCCTCTGCCCGTCGCCCAGAACAGAGCTTTCCCCCGGTGGGAGTCTCCTGGTGTGTCGTACCATCCCACTCAGAGTCCAACCAAAGGCCCTCCCGTGGCCTAAAGTCCCACCCCTGACCTCAAGCCTCCTCGCTTTTCTCCAGCCACAATGGCCTCCTGGCTGTTCCCACAGGGAGAGCTGCCAGTTTGGAGGTGGGGGAACTGGGGACCAGTCTCAGGGCACTGGCAAGCAGTGCCCCATCCCTTCTTGAGTAGGGGGAGGTGTGATTAAGAAGGCACCACGAGGGGGTACCTGGGTGGTTCAGTCAGTGAAGTGTCAGACTCTTGATATCTGCTCAGGTCATGATCTTGCGGTTGGTAAGATCAAGCCCTGCATCGGGCTCTGTGCTGACATTCCGGAGCCTGCTTGGGATTCTCTCTCTCCCTCTCTCTCTGCCCCTCCCCTGCTCTCTGTCTCAGAAAGAAAGAAAGAAAGAAAGAAAGAAAGAAAGAAAGAAAGAAAGAAAGAAAGAAGGAAGGAAGGAAGGAAGGAAGGAAGGAAGGAAGGAAGGAAGGAAGNAAGAAAGAAAGAAAGAAAGAAAGAAAGAAAGAAAGAAAGAAAGAAGGAAGGAAGGAAGGAAGGAAGGAAGGAAGGAAGGAAGGAAGGAAGGAAGGAAGGAAGGAAGGAAGGAAGGAAGAAAGAAGGCACCAGGAGGAAGTCTCTATCTGCAGGACAGGAAGACCCAGGATGAAGAACCCCCTGCCCATTTTATGCTGTTCTCACCTGCAAAGCATGAAGTGCAGCCCCAACGCGCTGGCGGGCCAGGGTGTGGTCAAGAGCTCTGGCTGCCACCAGGGCCTCCCGTAGAGCCCCCACCAGGCGTGTGCGCCCCTGGCCCAGCCGCTCAGCATCAAAGTGCAGGTCAGGGTCATTCCTGGATGTTGGTAGGAAGTCCTGGGCTGCGTTGGCACGGGAGACCTCACCTAAGGCTGCTCGGAACCTCCGGGAAGGAGACCCAGGTCCAAAGTAGGCAGCAAAGAGGTCATCAGCAAGGAGGGTGCGGCCCTGAAGACAGTGGGTTAGGAGACAGGAGCCCATTGGATTAGACCATTGTCCACATTTCCTCGGCAACCGGTACTCAGGTTGAGTGTGTAGGGAATTGAAGGTCCTGGGCCCTATGAAGGAGGGGCAATTCCAGACATTTCTAAGGTGGGAGGGTGGGGAATCCTGATTTTAGGACCAAGACTCTTGGGTATTGTTACTACAGGGGGTAGACGTGGGGAGCCAAGGAAGAGAGGGTGTCCCTCCTCTTGGCAAGCAGGGCCCTGAAGGAGTAGAAGTCCCAGACAATCGGGGAGTCCAGCTGGGATGTGACAGGACCTGGGGACGCTCACCAGGAAATCCTCAAGACGAAGGGGGGACCGCCCCGGGGGTGGCTGCTCCAGGAAGAGCTGTAGGGTGACATTGAGGGCTGCCTCCTCAGTCAGGTCCTGGTGGGTGATGGAGCCAGGGGCAGCCAGGAGGCTCCAGATGTTGGGGAAGAAGGAGGATGCAGGGGGCAGCAGCTGCAGTAGCAGCAGCAGCAGCAGTGAAGAACTCAGGTGGGCCAGGGGCACGTCTGCGGGGAGCATGGCTGGGACATGGACCTGAGGGACAGGAGGCTCTCAAGAGCAGGAAGCAGCAGCGAGTCCAGGGCAGGCCCAGCTGTTTGTCTCCACGGGGACCTGCTTTGAGGCCCTTCCTCTGCTTTGACTGAAGCACCTGGATCTGCCCCACCCTGGCCTCCCCACTCTTCTCAGTTGCCCAAACAACATGAGGGCCTTAATGGGCTAATAGGGACCTACACCTGCAAGAAGGAACTGAGGCTCCTTCCCCAGGTCTCCCCTTCCCACCCCCAGACTGACACCCCCCCAAACACGCAAGCACGGAAAATCTGAGGAGACTCCTCTCTAGGCCTCTCCCCTACCTGGTTGCTGGGTCTCCGGCAGGGCCGCTGGGGCATGGTGTCACAGGGCACTTAGGTCAGAGTTATAATTAACCGAAGCAGGACGCCTTGGAGGGGGAGGGAGGCTCCGGCAGGGTGGGGGCAGGACAGGCAGCCCCTGGCCCCTCTACTCACGCCCGCCCAAGGCCACAAGCGGCAGCCAGCACCAGGGCGGGGCTCCCTCAGCAGCAGTGCAGAGGTGAGTGGAGAGGAGCTGGGAGGAGGAACGAGTGAGCAACATGACTCAGGCCTGGCTCAGTGCCAGGGACAGACCCAGGCAGACGCACCTCTCTGCCCACCCGGCGCCTTTTGACCAGCCTGCCACCCTTCCACTACCTTCCCAGGCCTGGGCCCTCAGTGTCCCTCCCCAGCCCACCACACACAGACAAGAGATGATTTTGTGGCAAAATATTTTATTGCTGCCACCCCCGTGGTGGATGGCTGGGGGTTATGAGGGTCGGAGTCGGGTATGTCACAGCATCTTCTCAAATAGCGCGATGGCCTCGTCCACCTTCCTGAGCTCTGTTTCTGTCTGCTGGAGCTGGGGGTAGAACAAGGGAGAGGGGGTGGTGGGTGGTGAGGACTCAGGGCCAAGAGAGGAGATCTCCAAATGCTCATATGCCAAAGGGGTCCAAGTTGGAAAGATGGGTGAGGCCCAAGGCAGGGAGTAGTTTGAGGACTGTGCAAGCTCAGCTGGCCTTTCCTTCCAAATTCCCGCCAATCTCCCTGTGAGCACCCACGTTCCCCTCCATCATCACTGGCCTCTCTGGTCTCGCCTTTTGCCAGAGCGGTCAGTTCTCCAAAACAAAAGGGCCCATGTGCCCTAGCCTGCAGCCCAGCCCCCAGCTGGACGGCAGCGCACAGGGGTTACGGATGCAGGCTCCTAGGCAGGCACTGGGCCTTCGTTTGTAAAATGGCAATGGGAACACCTTATGCCCTGAGCAGGTGTCCGGGAGAATGGACTGAGCCCTGCTCAGCGGCCAAGGCTCTGTAACTCAGCCTCCGCTCATTTCTCTCTGCGTCCATGTGGTTCATCTCACTGCTCCTCCCTGGAGAGATCCCAGGTGAGCCCACCGGGCTTCCTGGCTGTAAGTGGGCCCAAGACCAGGCGCTCAGGATATTCCGGGCACTGGGTGGGGCACGAGGGCTCTGGCTGGGAGGCAGGATACCTGGTTCCAGGTCTGCCTCCATCTTTACCTTGCTTGTGTGACCCTGGGCTGTGCCGCTGCTGCTGGATGTTCCTCATGTAAGAGGAGGGGTTACGTGGGCCCCACCTATGCAAGGGGCCCGGGCAGCCTGCTCCCCCATGGCTGTCCAGGGCTGGGCCTGATGACGGAGGGAGTAGATGGCGTGGGCAGCAAAGAAGGAATGCCAACCTACACCACACACCTTGACTTTGTCCGCCTCCTGGACTTCAAGGGGCACCTTCGTAGGGTAGCTCGAGGCAGCGCGGCGCTCCCGCAGACGCTGTGCCTGCCGCTGTGCCTCACCACGCTTGGCCTGCAGCTTGCCCAGCTCCCGGGCCGGGTCCACCAGTCCCTGCAGCTGCAGGTGGACGGAGCAGCGGTCAGAGGCCAGGGCCACAGCACAGCCCTGTGGCACGGGAGCCCCCAGGGCCAGGACAGCCACCACACCCGCACTGGCCAGTGCCTGCACGTAACCCGACACTGCCGACGCCAGAGCGCCCGTGGCCTCATCAGCCACTTCCAGGAAACCTGTGGGAGAGAGAGGAAGGTGAGATGTGGCCCCAAGGAGACATGAGATAAGGCAACCACGTTGGACAATGGTCCCAGAGTGGACTGAGGGGCCGGCGGGACAAGGTGGCTGTGGGGGCCTGAAGCTCACAGTCAGGCCGGATCCGGGTGAGGTTGTAGTCGGCACGCAGGGAGCGCACAGCTCGTGTGATGCTTAGGGCCAGTTCCATGGCAGCTTCTGCCTCAGGGTCCTTCCAGGAGCACTGTGGGGTGGAAGAGCGGGTGAGGGAGGCTGGGGGGCAGGCCAGAGCCCTCCCACCAGGCTGTACCCCATACCTCTGAGGGCTCCGGATAGGGGGTAATACAGAGGCTAGGCGGAGCTTGTGGTGTCCGCCGGGGCAGCCTCTGGAACAGCTCCTCGGTCACGAAGGGCATGAAGGGTGAGAGCAGTCGCAGGCCAACATCCAGGCAGGTGTAGAGGGTCTGGCGAGCACACTCGGCCACCACCTGGTCCACCCCATTCAGCACAGGCTTCAGGCACTCCTAAGGCACCAGGAAGCACAGAGCACAAGGCTCAGGGATGGAAAGGGCCTAGCCTCCAGCCCTCACTGTGCCTGTGAGGACCAGGAAGGTGACAGATTGGCTCAGGTCTCATGGCCAACCACTGGCAAAGTGAGGTCCAGCGCTCTGCCACCCCCCGCCCCCTACTCAGCTCCTCCTCACCAGGTAGACATCACAGAGCTCATAGAGCCAGAAGCTGTACTGGGCAGTGGTGACAGCCGGGAAATCATAGGCCTGGAAACCTTGGTTGCTAAGCCTCACAGCCTCAGTCAGCCGGCTGCGGATCCAGCGGTCCACCAGGCTCTCACGGCCTCCAGGCTTGGGAAGAAGAAGCACATCAGCCAGGAGGTACCATAAGCCCAGGGGGAGGGTGGCAGAAGCCCATGGGCGACAGGAACCATGGGCAGATCTGCATTCCAGGAGCCTGACAGGTCTGAAGCCACCACCATGTGCCCAGTATCTGGAGAAAAAGGACCCCCACCCCCTTCTTGAAGGACCCCAATGCTTCAGCTTTTTCCTGTACCCATCTGTCCCCCCAGTTATAGGAAGGCTCCTCCAGGACAGGGGCTGGGCCTCTAGACTCAGTGGCTACAATCTGAAATAGCACGGACCCTACTTGATGGCTGAGTGGCAGATGTACCGCCTGTGTGGGTGCTACCCACCTTGCCGCCTACCAGGCCCTCACCTCAGAGGTGGGTGATGGCACAAAACCCTTCCCAAGGCCACGCAGGGCAAACTTGGTGGCGTTCCAGAGCTTGTTGCAGAAGTGGCGGTATCCCAATATCCGGTTCACATCCAGGTTGATGTCACGACCTGGGCAGGTGTGAAGTGTGACTCCACTATTCTCCCTCCCAACTCGCACCCATGGTGAAGGAGAAGGGTGGGCTCAGGGAAGGAGAGGGGACTCAGCGGAGAGGTTTTGGAGGCCATACCCTGGGATGTGTAGGCACACAGTCCAAACCGGAGGGCATCGGTGCCGCACTCGGGAATCCCCGTCGGGAAGTCTGCCCTCTGTGGGGAGGAGTCAGTGGGGGGCGTCCTGAGGCAGCCTCACCTACCTCGGCCCACACCCTAGCCCCAGAGCCCACCCTCGGTACCTGCCCTTCTTTAGCCTTCTCCACCTCACTGGGATCCAGGTTGCTGTTCAGTAACTGGTCATGGAGGCCCTGAGGGTGAGGTAGGAGCAGTCAGGGGGCCGCGGCCACAGCCCCACAGCCCTTCCTGACCCGGCCCAGAGTGCAGCCCCACCTGCAGGGAGACTCCGTGGATGACATCCAAGGGGTCGATGACGTTGCCTAGAGACTTGCTCATCTTTCGGCCATGGGCATCTCGCACAATGGCATGGAGGTAGACCTGGCGAGCAAGGGCGGGGTAGGCCCATGATGATGTGTCTCCTCACCCACACCCCAATGCCTACCAGGACCCTGCACCTGGTCTGCCCCATTCTGAACCTCAGGCCCCTGCCAGAGCAGTAGCCACCTTCATGGGAACTAAAGGCACTCCCTCCTCTGGGAAGCCAGGGCACAGAACCCCAGCTGGCTTTCAGTCCCCACAAGCCCTCTCTGACTAGGCCCATCCATAGCTGTGCATGGGTGCTGAGCCTGAGCTGTGGCACAGGAGGGCAGGTGACTGTGGGAAGGGCCTCAGCAGTCTTATCACCTCTCTGAAGGGCAGCTTGCCAGTGAGCTTCAGCCCAAGCATGACCATCCTGGCCACCCAGAAGAAGAGGATGTCATGGCCCGTCTCCAGCAGCGTCCCCGGGTAAAATACATTCAGATCTTCTGACTGGGGGCAGAGCGGGGCATAGTGAGAGGCCAAGAGCAGGGTATGAGAGGCCAAGCACCTACCTCCAAGACCCCCACCCCACTCTAGTCCCCCAAGAACGTACCTGATTGGGCCAGCCCAGGATGGAGAAGGGGAAGAGGCCAGAGGAGAACCAGGTGTCTAATACATCCTCATCTGAGGGAGGCCAAAGGTCAGAGATCAGAGAGGTCAGAGGTGAAGATCAGAACCCCAGCCCTGCCCTCCACCCCCAAGGTCCTGACTTGCCTTGCTGAAGACTGATCTTGTCAGGGGACACTCCAAATTCCTTGGCTGCCTTCTCCCGGGCCTCGGCCTCGCTGCGCCCACTCACCCAGTACCGCCCATCAGGGTCCTGCCACAGGTAGGTTGAGTGCCAAGGGGGTCCCTCAGCCTTGCCCTGACCCCTCCCCCCAGCAAGGACCCCACAAACCCACAGCTCCCTGAGATGTGCCAATGTCCAGCTCTGGCCCAGTTCTCACCTCCCCTGGGGGCACGGCTGGGTCACTGACTGTGATGAAGTAGGCTGGGATGCGATGGCCCCACCACAGCTGCCGGGAGATGCACCAGTCCCTGCAAATGGTGGGGGAGGGGTGGTTGGGGGGAAGGAACATGAATCAGGCAGTGGAGGGAGATGCCCCAGCCTGTGCCCTGCTCAGCTTCTCACCCAATCACCCTCCCACATCAAGGGCCCTGACGCACCGGATGTTGTCCATCCAGGTGTGCCATGTCCGTTGATGGGCCTCAGGCAGGATGCGGAGGTCACCGCGTGTCACAGCAGCACTGGCAGCCTGGGCCATCTCCCCACAGCGCACGTACCACTGTGGCCGCAGGAGAGGCTCCACCACATCCTTAGACCGGCTGTGAGTATACACGGGTGGGAGATCAAGTGGTAATCACCCTGAGGAGGCCCTCCCCCCTTCCCAGGCCCTGGTCCTCACTTGCAAAGGGGCACCACCATAGGGTTGTCCTCAATGCCTCGGAACAGTCCCCGCTCCTTCAGTGCCGCCAGCACAGCCTTCCTGGCCTCGAACCTTGGTAGGCCCTAGTTGGGAGACAGGCCTCATCACGGCCATGCCTAGGTACACCACTGTCTCTCAACCCGGCCACCATA